TGTTAGCTTTGTGAATTGTTTGTGTCAACGCTAACTTCGGTGGAAATTTCAACCATATTTGTTGTACAACTGGAAGTACAGAGTATTCGAATAAAGTCGAAGTCCGCGACACAGCGACTTGCTTTGAACAGAGTACAGTTTTCATTCAGTCTCATGTCGAGAATGTACATTTGAGCGACAGTAAACTCTAGAATGGATTTGAACAGCGCCGGAAAAGGGTGTCTAAAACGAAGACTTATGAGTGAGTTGAAGTTGTAGGAAGATGCTTCAACCAAAAAGGGCAGGCATAAGGTCACTAATTGAAGTTCTGGTGTTCATGAAACCGTGCTGCTGAATCCTTTGAAGAAAAAGGAACAGTAACTTCTGGAAACATCTCAAACGAGAGATTCAGCTGGTTTCCGGTTGAGTCTTCGCAAAAATTAGTTTGCAAATGACTGTATTTCGCTAACAGTAAATTTTGTTTATACTTGAGTTTGAGTAAGAAATATGGAACTACAAATGCATTCAATAAATGTTGCACATAATTTATTGACAAACCCTCCTGGGGCCCTTTTAAGCTGTGTGTATCAAAATTAAAGTAACTCCATATGTAAAACACCAACTGTTTGTTCAAACCATGAATCGAATGTTTAGAGGCGTCGGCTTGAAGGGTACATCGGGTAAAAATTTGTGGCGAAATCTTAACCAAAGTTAAGAAGAAGCGAAATAAGTAAAGTAGTTTGTCTTATAAATTAAATGACGAAGGGGAATTAAGAGTGATAAACGGATACTGCAGCTAAAGTAATGAGTTTTGAAGCCGAGTTTCCACTGATATTTAGTGGATAGTCATCAAGATGCACTGGATGGTACAAAAATACCTAAACGATATCCTCTTTTCATGCAAGGAGTTTTGACCATGTTATTCCAATACTACGGCGAATCCTGATTTTCGGTAAATCCTACGCAAACGCCGATCGCTATTGTGAAATTTTGATGACTAATTGTCCGGCTAACAGGCCGAGTCCAACCGCATATGAGGTGTCTGAGTCGCCACAGTACCCATATATTCCACCCTATTCAAGGGCTAAAAATTATCGGAGTGCGAGAAATGCAAGTTATTGGCTCTCTTGACAACGTATCGGTGTATCTTATTGATCCTATTCGTTCAATGTCAATACAGTATGATTTTCAAGAGCTTCTTATCCTCCAAAATTACTATCCGCTCATCCCATGGATTTCATTATTTCCCCCTCAAATATAGAACATTATGTGCAGAAAAACGTCGAACAAGATCGATTTGCAGAGCTACTCTTCAGGATTCGGGACGCCATTATGCAAGGATAGAGCCCGGTAGGTTTGTCACTCTACTGACAGTAATCTCAGTTAAGTTCTCACAGAGTAACATTCTATCAATGCCTTTGAAGACTCGGAAGGAACAGCAACAAAGTTTGATGACAGAGCTAGTAATAGCAAGTGATCCGACGAACACGGCAGTGAAATTTGTATGACTCATGCTAGGAAATGTTGGACGTAAATAGAGCACTTAACCTCATTTCTTAAGATTATATTTAGCTTTTCCGCGTTCTGTGAATGCCCAGAAGACGAGCTGGTTATTGAACCATCACCGATTCATGTGTATGTATATCGTCATCCATTGTTTTATTGATGCATGACAGTACAACATAAAAAGGCGTTTGCTTTTTACTAGAACCTTGTGTACGATTTCTCCTAAGACGGCGAAATAAACTCACATGCATAAAATAGTGTACCGTTCTGAATGAGGTAACTTTGGCATGATTTGTGAAACGATGTACATTTCACTATCAGGCGTCATGTGATCACAAGTGAAGTACTGTTTTCTTTCTTTCAAATTTAATCTGTCATGCTGAATCACGGGACTTTGATTGCTTATTCACTTTAGTTTATCGACCGAAACGTAAGTTACTTTGGTGTGTTTTATACTGCATCTGAATCAGCATGCATGAAAAGAAGTTCGCACTTGTACTTACTTCTGACTTCACTCCTCTGTTCCTTTTTCTACGTTTCCCGACTCTTATGCATGAGAAGAAATTGCGAAGCTGACCTCGTGCAGTGAGCCACATTTTAGTGATGTCTAATTGGCAATACTGGCGTCAGTTCGGGTGAATTTGCTACCAGACTATTAAGATATGATTGGGTGTACCATTTCCCTTCAGTATACGGAATAGAAATCTCGATATCTCTTTGATGGTACCGCGTCACCTGCTCCGAAAATCGGCTTTCGAATGCACTGTTTCGTAAAATACTTCTTTGTAGGAGTAGTCTAATTAGCGTATTGGCAATGTCCACTTATCAAAAAGTACCTTGGTTCGTTTCTGCAAAACCGTCCTGGAACAACTCCATCGACATGCCTTGAGCATAACAGGATTGGGTATATTGACTTGACCTAGTGAAGGCTTCAAGTTTCCGTTTATTTAACCAATGTACCGACCATACTTCTGGGCTTTTCTGATTTTTCTGGTCATATGCGCTCCGGAGCGTTCATTACACACCTGTACATGTCACAGAGGGCTGTTATTTCTCAGAAACTATCTGAAACTGCGATGGGATGAGAAGTTTTTCGTACGTCGAAGCAACATGACACCTGGTTTGGAAAAACGGATGCATAAAATGTTACATGGATTCCAAATTAGTAGCGTTACTCTTGCGGCCTGCAGATTATCCATAGCACTGTCTCTGTGCAGCCACTTAAATGAGGTCAATCTCTCTGTCCCTTCATCTTATTGAATGTTTTCATTTTTGGACAAAGAAAACAGACCGCAGCCGCAATCAACTTGGTTAGGATTATTTAGTCAATACGCTCCCCTAGAAGCTTAGTGGCTTTTACTTCACTACCCTCTAGCGGTTGCTCCTAATCTCATAACACCGCTAACCGGCATCCCAACTGACGTAACGTCCAGATTCAAAAGGTGTTTAGATACATCGATACATCGCAAAATCATTATGTATTGTTCTAGCACAACTTTTCTTAACAGAGGTTCCTTTTGCTAAAGATGGGGCAAGATGATACAACATGTATCCCCACAAGCCGATAGTTGGGTCGTCGAAGTGTCAACTTCACGTGCAGGATATCTGTCCCACAACTCCCTGATAGGTGATTACCCCTTGATGGTTGTGATGTGGGCGTGGATACCCTGCTGCTTCTGTGGTGACTGCTGAACTCCCCGCATTGCCGAGGAGGTCAGAGCTTTCCTCGATCGAATGATCTGCTAAGGCTTTTAAGTTTTCCACTAAATTCGCTTGGTGCGAAGCCGCCCGCGTAAGTGACTACCATCGATGCCGACACACTCGATTTTTTTCGGCCAGGCCTGTAAAAACAGACTGACCAGTTTGAGTAAATATCGGGGCTCTTTACCAGACATTTCTGCCGAGCGACACCCTAATGCTTTCCATCAGCTTCAAACAACTGGCAGATGTAGTTTCATAGACCTTATACAGCAGAAACTGTATATATAGGGTCTGTTTTCGGCGCATTTTAGAGTGGCTATTGATTATCCATTAAACAAGGCTGTTGAAGATCCCAATCTCGCGGACTATGTTCAGCCTGACACAGAAAGTTTTGCGGACATTCCGGTCAGTAAATTCGTGCTCAAACAACTGAGCCATCTGGTTCCGAGTTTTCAAGGAGCGTTCGTACTATGCCGACTTCACGGGGATGGAAGAATTACCTCTCTTTTGGGTCAGCAGTATCGGCATACAACTTAGTCTGGAATAGCTTCAGGATATCGGTTTGGAATGGGAACAACAGACGTGCAGTGAAGATGAGTTTTCTCTAGCTATGCTTCCAGGCTTGCATATCATTGTTTGTGACGACAATTTTCAGTTCCACACGTAGCCTGACAATTTTCTGCACGGTATCTTCTTTCCTCAGTCCATCAGGGCTTTTTAGGATGAGGCTTTCAAAAGCCACAATTATAGACTTCATCTTGCTCATCACTTGAGCCCATTACAGTAGTACGACACCATGGTGCTGGTTGCTAGGCCCTGGCCTTTCTTTCTCGTCTTTCACACTTGGCTATTCCCCGTACCATCTAGTATTAATATAGTGCGACACTTCCTGCTTACCACTTACAACATCTGTATGGCTGTCAATAATTCTGGGAACATTGTTATCAAATTCTTTGTTTCTGATAAGAAAATAATGCACTTCCATCAATCAAAATCGCTGAAAAAACCTCACAGTCATTACTCTGTGGATTTTGGTGATAGCAATGGAAACTTAATTTGAGTTGAATTGCTTGGAGGTGAACTCATCCCCAACCAAAACTAAAATTTGAGCTGATGACAGTGTAAGAAATTTCGCAGCTTTCTTCTTAGGATAGAGAACTATTGTAGGAAATTAGGGGGTTTGGGAGAATACATGTAGCGGATCCAATGTACACGGCTTGTATTTTTGTAGCCCTAGATCCCCGAAATCTCCTAAAGGTAATAATTGCTGCTTTAAAGCGACAAATTATAGTCATGTCCACCAGTGAATATTGTCTAGGAAATTTATTGTCTTCATTTCGGAAGTGACTACATCTTGTCAGGCGTGCACGTTTACTTTCGTTTTTTTGTGTGGTGTATCAGAATAAATTCAGAATATCTCAAATGAGTCTATGACATGAAGCTTGTGTAAGCGTGCAACTTGCATTCCCCTACCTGGCGAAATTCACCGGGCGTAGCGGGCAAATAGCATGCGCACAGTTGGTTGAGGTAAGTGGATCAGTTAATTGAATATGTCGAGTGCAGCAGGGCACAACCTAACCTCATGTACTTACAAATGATCAAATTCAAACTCTGTATCCGTCGGAGCGAGCCTCGGTTCAATGAGTCTATTCACATTCAACTTACAGTCGTGCGTGCCGTTTTGTGCGGAAGTCCCGCGGATGTAAACCACACCAAATGGCTAGTTAAGCGCACGATAAAACATATGGGCCGGCCTGTGCTACACTAACTAGCATATAAAACCACGGTGATGTGGCACTTTGTGAAATCAGAACATGCACACCCTACACAACGCCAGTGCATACACACTCCTGATCTATGTGTTTTGCAAAATCCTTGGTGGACTTGCATTGAATGAACCTAGTCTGCTTCAAATGTTAGTAGTTGGGAGATGCTCCGAGTGGAAATTTACGCAAGGAATATATGGGTAAGTCTACCGTTTGATCTGGTCTCCAAATGCGGTCACATGCCTTGGACACATTTTGTACTTGTATATTAATCCAGTAACATAAGTATTTTATATTCAGTCGTATCGATAGGACGCTGATACTGTGCCAACAAGCCAAACCGTGCCGAGGGCGAAATCCTGTGAAGTAGCTTATATCTTCTTTCATTGTGAATAACGTTTACAGAGTGAATGATCTTTGGTGTCGCCAAGTGGACACCAGAATTTCCGTAAAACATAGGAGTAGTACTTCCTGAGAGACAGTAGTGCCCAGGCGCGCCGTTTTTTATTGATTTTCACAAAGTTTTAACCCTACATTCTTTGCGAAGTACTGTTGGCATTATATTATGTGAGGGCCACTCCTCTCAAATGTTAGACCAATTAGGCGGATGTGCACAACCCACGACATAGATTTCGTCTGTGTCGCTCACGTACTTTTTCGTCAATGTTACGTTAACACGTCGGAAAAAATTGGCAAATGAGAGGTCGTTCTTTTCGAAAAAGTTTGGTGACAATCGGTAGATTTATTGCTGAGCAACGTTTTGCTTCTGTCACAAAAGCTTCGTCACGCCAAGTGACTAGGTTTCGAGTTTGATCGAGGTTTAAGGCGGAAGGAGAACCAATCAGCTAAGTCAAGCTAAATCTCTGTTGGGTGTCGGTCAAGGGATTTTAGTATGTTTGAGTGGTTGAACAAGTGTTGGGTCGTTGGGATACCTACTTGTGTTTTGGTCCAGGCTAGGGTCTAGTTCTTCTGGTTCGGTTCATTTGATGGTTCCTCTTGAACTTCATTTGAACCTTCTGTTAGTCTGTGTGGGTGAGCTAGTGCTAAGAAAGTTGTGAAAGAGGGATGCTGTGACCTTCGGTCGGTTGAGGTCGTTCTATTGCACTTTGCAGCCGCTTACAAATAACCCGAACAAAATTTGGTTACGCATTTATTCACAGTTCTCTGATATAAACGATCCGGTTGATCATACCATTTGTATTCAATCTACAACTTAAGTCACGTGAGAGCACGGGTTTACTTGAATCTACGGCAGCCTAATTTTTGTAGAAGGGGCACAAACTTCGAAAACCATCAACGCATGCAATTCACCTGGCTGCAAAACCATCTTTCGGCAATCGGCTGATCAGGCACGAATCTAAGCATTGGCTCAGGTTACTTGTTGATCAGCCATGTGCCTTTATCACCTGTCAGTTCCTTCGGGTTTTAGCTTGGTATACTATATGGGTGCGGTACCACGTAAATTTCACTTGATGGACAAAATTTAGTGTGCCATCAGTGTAGTAGGTCGGTGAATATGCCGATGATACAGGGCATATCCTGCTGAGTCGTTTGCGTCCACTTGTGCAGTTTCACCTGATCGAGGCTCTGCCAGCGAAACTGAGACTTTCGATTCGGTAGTTTGTTTCGCAGCACTGAATCACCTCATTCAGGCCACTGTATTAAGTGCCAGGTTCCTTCCTTATCTGAAGTTCATTTTATGGCTTGCAAGCCTACCTGACTGCTATTCCAGCAGTGGGGCTTTAGGGGCCCTTGAATTCAGACAACGTCCTTCAGCTACTACGAGATGGGGGCTTCGATCATTCGTTCAAATTCGTTTAACCAGTTTCCCCACTATTCGTCCATACACTGTCAAGATTTTGCTTCTATACCATAAATAGGACATTACAAGAGGTCAGCAGACACCAATCCTGAGTGTAAGTTTGCTGGATATATATATATATATATAACCGCAAAATGAAACAGTCAGGATATAGATTGCCAGTCTGTAAGGGTGGTCCCTAGGATCGTGTGCGAGGCGGGTCTTCAACCATGAAAGATGACATCGTTAACTCGATAAAATACATGCAACTGGTAACAATGTTAATTTTTTGCCACACTAATGAGGTAGGCACTCGGCTTTAAACAAACTGTAGGGAGTTCGCTCCAAAGGTATCCATTTTGGGGCACATCGGTGCGATATTTGACTCAGAGGAAGTTGGTACTCCATTCACACGCAGGCGTCCACTGGTTTGATCAATGCTAACCGGCATGTCCGACTCTGATACTAATCATCTAAACGCGAACGTGTGTCTAATGCCTCCGAAATGAAACCCAGATATTTCCTCGCACTAATATTCAGCTTTGAAGAATAATGCTTCAAGCACCATATTTTTCCATGTACTGAACTCGGTAATGATTTGGTGAACCATGGATTAGCTGTAGTGAATTTTGTGTTGGATCACTTAAATCGGTCAGTCAATTCCATCATTTTTGTTACCAACACATGTGCCTGGCCGCTGACCACTAACTGGATTCGTAGCCATTTTTCAAGCGCATCAGCCACGTTTGACGAAAATGGAATCTGCGAACGAGATTCTAAACTAGGCGTCATTTCTGTCTGATTTATCGCTGATGAGAGATTTTGAAGTTCCAGCCAGTCATCCTTGAGAAGACAATCCATGATAAGCCTTCATATGTAAGCGTTCGGCTGTTTCGTCACTGTGTGAGTCGTCGGCAGCATGGATTCCATGGATCTTTGAGGATGGGTTGGCATTCCACGTTATTTTGCCCCACCGGTTGAACAGTGTCTTCGGGACTTGCCTATTGAAAACCTAGAGGAATTTTACTTCAACAAGATAGAATACCCCCGTTCTCTGATCACATGGCTCACATCACGGTGTCCGGGGTTGACTGTTTTCCCAAAAGACCTAAACATGCGCCCTCCTTTTTGAGTAGTGTATTTATTTTGCTGCATGACTCTTAATAAGCCATTATGTCCCAAGCGATACCACCCTGGTCGTCATGTAAAGTAGCACAATATGCTGGCATTGTTCACAAACATTTTGTATGAACCCACGGGGCGAATCCAACAGCCCGGACGCGCGAGGTGATTTCCTCAAGTGGAACTGTATCCGTCGTTTTCAAAAACAATAGTCGCTTGCTAGCTAAATTGCAACTTCTTTGAACGAAGTCTGGAAAATGGTTCATTTTAAGCACAGGTAGCATGCGTATTGACAGTATGGCTTTCAAGCATAAGCCCAATGCTTGTCTTTTAGTAACCAAGGTTACAGTAATCCGCGTGGATTGAATATGAATTATTGCAAATTTGCGTTTCATTTGAAGCAACTTCTTAAAGCAAAACACCAAGTGGTAAAACTATGCATCCTATATCACAGTCCGCTTGGGTCTGCGTAACTATGACGACCAAACACCTTGAACACTGAACACAAAAAGTTCAAACTACCAGATAATGTTATGCCCTCTGAAAATTGTTACTTGTTACTTGGTACAAGTTGTGACAAAGTGGTGTGCTCCCACACAGCTTCGTTTCGTTGGATCGTGTTGAGAAGATAGAGAAAGCAAGATTTCTTTTGGTTCCTACTTGCTTGAAAAGTAGCCTTATGTTTGGTGAAATTAATGCATCCGGGATTTACTGAAGCTTGGAGAAGTTCAGCTAGAAAGTGTGTGCATCAGCCTGTAAAAATAGACCATATGTACCGCCGGTTTCCCTCTTTTTCAGAGTCATGAGTTACACCGGATCCCCATCAATATTGAAAAAAAATGTACGCACATTGTACCAAATGGCTTAATTGAGTGTTTACATGGTGTTGGCAAGTGATCCAAGTGACCCTCAGCTGAATTTCTCATTTATGACACTATTCACACAAAAGTGCTGTCCAAAAGCCACCTTTGGTTTCACAGGGAACAACATGCAGAAAAGGAAGTCTTCCAATAGCAACTTTACCGTACTGCTTTCGAAGATGAAAAGAACTGGGTTTATCGGATAGGAGAAATATTCCAATGGTAGGCAAGCAGGCCTGAAATTAAGCTATCTGAAATTAATTGCGATATAACCATCGATGTCAGATATAACCGTCGGAGTCAGATGAAATCCAAATCCTCAATGATATTGGTTTTGAGCCCTAAAAGTTGCTCCATTTGTTCACGTACGAAGTGACAATGCTGATACATAGTTGTACGCCCGCTTTTCGTGTTGCTGCCAAGACTGGGCGACCGATATGTACAATTTAGGAGTAGATTTACACACTGATAAAGCCTGGTCGAAACACGCCATCCAACATCTTCAAAGGAGCTCTCCATATAGAATCTTCGAAAAACTATCGAAATTCAAGAGGTTTAGGAATTGCACCCAGCCCAGTAAATGTAAAAAACAAATTGAGACCACATCATGCCTTCCGTATGAAACACCAAATACTACAGTTACTCAAATCCTCTGTATATTTTGTTCAGACCTGATGTTAGTCGAGTTCAGAAGCGATACTTCTTTGACGAAACTTTTGGCCAAGGAGCCATTGTGTCGCAATGGTCCGTGGAGGAAATTTATTAAATCAGTTGTTTGACACGCACGAATCCCACGAGTTAACAAGGGATAATCGAACAAGGTAGTACTCTGCTAATATTGTACGGTGTATGTTAGTATCGTAATCCTATACTGCATGTCACGTCAGTTCACTCAGGAAATTCGAAGAAGTCGGATGTGTTTTGAGAGTACACAGGCTCAATAATTATTCATAAAAGTACCAAATGTGGTGTGAGATGTCTCGCGCACGCAGTTTTTGATCACAGATTAGTGGTTATTTCTTTGATAGTAAGTTAAAAAATATATGACTATTGAACAGATGTGGATAAACTCCAAGTCTCGATGGTTTATTTATTGTTACGACGGAGAAGCTGCGTTAAAACAGGGTGTTTTTAAGAAATGCACTCATTCGCAAATCGATTTGGTTTTCACAAGAGACTCGACTGAATCTCTCGTTTATGATATTCTACAACTGAATGTGCTGCACACAGGTCGCCTCATGATTCAGTTGGCAGGATATTCGAGATATCGCAGTATATTTTCATAAAGGAAACTACTCATAAGTTGAGTGTATTTTGCTAATTTCGTGCATTTCGGTTTCAAGTAGAACATAAGGTTGACGAAAACTTGGGGACTACGCCCATCTGATGAGCCCCAAGAAGGGCGAAACCGGTCGTGGGCTATCGAAGAGTTTTCAGCAACCTTGTGAGTAGTTTCCTTTATGGAAAGGGTGTTTTCCCTTTGGACCGTTCCCTTATTGGAAATTCTAAACCTCAAGCACATGATGGTCACAGTTACATCATACTTTTAGAGTGAACATCAGTCTAAGACCACCTGTAGGCATCCAAGTGAATATCTTTTCAATGTACACACTATGACTGACTGCTCATCTGGAGCTTTCATCTTCCGCAAATAGTTAAAATTCGGTTGCTTTAAAATTTTCGCAGGTCGTGATTGCCACGAAATATGTCAGCCGTTTGTGTCATTTTTCATCAAGATGATCAAGACTTGCTGACATAAATCTATTGCTGGGATTCCGACGAAACATAGGCTTTTGTCACTTTGTAGATGATTTTCCAGGCCACCTATCACTACCTCGGTTCTATCTCGGATCCACACACTCGTCTTCTGCCAAGCACTGGCTGTGTTTGTTGTGACTCATGGTCGCCACCAAAGGAGTAAAAAAGACGCGGTTGGGTTTTATTACCACATATTTTCAGGCTGGCCATTTGCAAACAAAATCGTGAACACTAGAAGGTACCCATTTTGGAGACAAAGATGCTGCGGAAAACAGATATATCAGAATTTCCTGGGCTGTGGCCTAGTCGTCTTAGCTAACTTAATCAGGTGGAAAAAATATCCTTTTGTAATCCACTACCCATAAAGTTGCTGAGAAGGCCGCGATGGCCCACGACCGGTTTTGCCCTTCTTGGGGCTCATCAGGTAGATGCGGTCTCCGAGTTTCCGTCAACCTTGTGTTCCTATTTGCCAATTTCTTGGCTACTGAAGATCAGGTAAATTGCTTTGGAACTCTGTCTTCATGAATTTGATCAAAGTACCTCTTGGAAACTTCGGCGGTGTCGTTGTAAATATACACAAACGTCACGCGATTCAACCGCGAACAACCTAGTTTCACCGCCAAACAGCCAATTAAATAATGTAAAATATACATTACTGACCTGTTCACTCTTCATATTAGAGTAAGTTGCTTTTTGTTTCAACTTCACAGGATAGATTGTCAGAACGTGTGGACGGAATTTGAGAAAATAATTACGGGGGAACAACTGAGTCTGTTGTGCACCATGGATCCAAAGCTATTCGATCCCTTTGTTGATAGCTTGTTTGGATACCAACCAAAACTTTCAAAAGTAAGTTTTTGTAAAGGGCGATATCACTTTTAGTACTGTTCAACGAGTTTGAGTGAGTAATTGTGCATCCTTGTTTTAGGCTCCCGAAAATAGTAAACAATGAGCAACCAAGTTATTCAGTGTGCAATTAAAATTACATAAATGTCGTGAAGTATATCCTACTGAAGATTCCCATCTTTCCAGCGTCATTTGAAGCTGAAAAACGGAGGCTCCTATCCACCATACGTCAAACGAAATTTGACTGTCTCCTAAATCTTCCTTAATGGCATCATCAAGTTTAAGGTTCTTCGCATGCAAGTAAATCACCTTTTGAAATGAGTGCATGTCTGTCAAGAGCTGTACGTATATAGATTCTCAGTTGCGCAAGATCATCTGGGAAATACTACCCGGAAGTCTCACGATAACTGAGAAATCAGACTCCAGGTTACCAGGATACAGAATGACAAAGCCATGTCTATATGCAGTGTCTGACTCTCTTTGGTCAATTTTGGAATTTGCAGCATGAAAGAAAAACATTGTGTATAAAACAGATACGGAGTTCTCGACAATCGAATGATCGTCCGGAAGTCCAACTCACCTGTGGGCTGCCAGCAGGGTTCTGTTAGGACAATTGGTACCTAGATGGGACTAATTCCTACTGTTTACTTGGACACTATCGACAAATGAATTATTCTTGCACTGAGGTTGGCCTTACAATAGGCGATCTAAGGAAAGAATCTCCACTGCAGTGGTAAAAAGTTTTTTTCAGAAATCATCTTTCAAGGCCAGTTTGTCTGTCTGACCAGATTGTGAATCTGTAATACCTAAAGTTTGTGGTCCGCTGAATATGTGGGCCAGATAGCAAGACAACTAGCAAAGAGAATATCCACCGGCGTACATAAGTTAAAAAGCTCCAAAAAAGCCATAATGTGGCGCTTGATATCCCAAAATCCAACTGCAGTTGGCCTTCCGGATGGCATACTTGATGCATGGATGCACGTCCGTGAATAGTGGTGGAAGAATACAAAATACAAATGGGCCTTTACCTCCGAAGCAAAGCACTACCCTAACCCAAACATGTTCGGACCTGCCCAAAGGTACGCCAAGTAGTCTTTTTTATACTTTACAGTTTGGCAAATCATATAACGTGTAAGGATCAAGAAGTAGCTGCAAAATTTAGTTGGTGTACTCGTGTGACCCCAAGAAAATAGTGTCCTCGAATTCATCTAGGAGATGACACTGCTCCTTCGATGAGAAACCACAAAAAAGGACTGATGCAATCACTGATATGGTTTGGATTCTCTTAATTTTCACTCAATTGCTGGACCAAAATAGCTTGATTTTAGGCTACCTAAATGCATACATTGACGTAACCTTATTCGTGGCCGACGAACACCACTTGTCTAGTTGCGTGGTACATTACATATGTTTCCTTTGTCATTCTAACACATTTTTTAAGTAGCCAACTCGTTTCAAGACAGTATGTTCTGCGCCCTAGTACAATCTTCCCGTCGTCTTAAAAATAAAGCAGTGTCAGTTACAGGTGTCCGTAAATTTTCTGAAAAATCGCAATGTTTTTTTGTTCTACAGCCTTTCTTCTGGTCAGGAACAAGACCATTCTCGATTCCGTTTTGCAGAAACCTTGGAATTTGTGATGTGTTAGAGGGCACACTTCCCGGTGAGTGAAAGGTACAGTAAGCTGGTTGTTGAAGTTCGTAAGAATCATGTTCAGGTAACACATAGTGTCCCCCATTGCCATTATCAGCGTTTCGTTCATTCTTGAAGTATAATAGACGATGAACACCTCGGAATCCTAAATTCAATTTCTTGGGTTGGTAGAACAATAAGAAAGGATAGATTCCACAGTTACAGCTAACGAATAACTGATTTTAGATAAAACTGAAGATAGTGAAAGATCCTTATGAATATTTTTCATTTGGTTATTATATCTATATCTGATCGACAGCCACCCGGTAAAGGAGTGGATAGTTAGGACATCTAGGGAAGACACCGCCTAATTTGGTCATTCTGGAGAGAGATGGGAACAGCTCACGCAATTGTAACACTTCAAAAGCGGATTGAAAACGACGTAGGTACTTCCACAGGCTTGGTTTGGAATACATAAATGACCCAGGTCAATGACTTTTGTCTCGGGATTTTTCTAAACAATGTTTTAACGCTAACATAAAATAATAATAATATCTGTTCAGCTGTGATTCCTTTCCGATGCTTAACTGCCATGCACAACGGCTGTGCCCGCGAAACAACAGATTGACAAACTGGAGAGGGATGAGAGGGGCTCAAATCTTTAGGTGTTCAAAGCTTACTTGGCATCTTGTAAGTAAAAGGAGTCAAATTCCAAGATTTGGTGAACTGAAGGCTCACTAAGTTCAGCGAAATGGTCTGGAGAGATGACGGGCTTCCTTAAGTTGGTTTTCGAGCAACAGAGATGTCTTCTAACATGTTTACCGATGGGGGAAGTCCGGATGGGGAGTTTTTCAGCACCCGTCATTTGGCCAACTAAAATCTGCATTGCTACAGGCCATGCAGTTCTCGGAAAATACACAGCCTGCGCAGCAGAAAGAGCGAGAACACGCCTAGGTAGGTAGAACCATTTTCAACTGTCAAGCTTGTGTGCTTTCAAGTGTCTAACAGAATACAGTATCTGCTTTATTGATTGATTGCTCGGTTGAGTGTTTATTTTTATTTTTTTCAGGACTGACAAAAAATATATGGGTACTTAGTACACCAAACGTTTTCTACCCACATAGGTTATATATTTAACGGCTTGGACTGGTGCGACCTAAAACAGACAGCTGGAAAGGTCTATCACACACAATGCGGCTGCAGCGGCAAAGCAGATCTTGTGTATGCGTTTTGGAAAAGTGCTTCAAGTTCAGTAAGTTGCATATTTTTGGGTTAACTAAACGAAAATGACCATATCGTTTCGGACTCCGGTGTGAAGTTCCATGGCCGTCTGTCCTATATAGACCTTAGTGATCGATGATGCGAATGTTACATCTATACTAAAAAGGAGTAGAGCCGAAGTTGGCAAATATTTGCTATCCTTGATGAACCGCTTGGGACAAGGTGATTGGTTTGGGACCGATGTTATCCCATTCAAACCAGGGACATCAAAGGTCATTCGAAGAATGTTAAACACGGCCAACTTAAGAGTAGCCTTCAGAGGGGGAAAAACTCTGCACTCTGCACTGGTGTAATTGAGGAATCATCTTCCTGCAAACAGAACCATGGACTGTGTTTACAAATATTAAGTGTATCGACTTCTTTAAGGTCGATATAGAGCAGACGGCCAGAGAACTTGATACCAGAATCGGAGATCACTATAGGAAAATGAACAGGCCGCCTAGAAATGCGGATGAATATCAACGGTTACTGAAAGTGTCGGCAATTGTAGAACACGCGCTGGACACGGGACACAAAATAGACTTACAGCATGTTGAGGACTACGGTCCACATTACAGAGACTGATGACCGAGGCGGTAGAAATCGCCAAGCATCCCAGTGTTAACAGAATAGAAGGCGTGGGGAACAGTTTTGGATCAGTCGACCTAACACGTGTTGGTGTGCGGTCATCAGAAGGAGTAGTCGTCATCTGAATTCCAGTGGACCTCACTCCCCTCTCAAACTAAACTTTCGGAGCACTCACAACCTCACAAAGACCCATAAAAATTCACCAATAGCATCCGAGGTGAATCATCAATCGAAGCAAACTGAAGTGGAAGATAAAGGAACCAAACCCGACCACAATTAAGTTGAAACTCCCCAATCCACCAAAGCAAGATTTTGACAACTACACTAACCGACAAGCACTGTCAATTAACACTCAACAATGATCTAGTGTGATAATCTAAGGAGGACTTACTGATTGGTTCCCCATCTGTCTTATAATTTGGCCTGATGAAGCGGAACGTTGCCAAAATAAAAAAACTACCGATTGTTTACCAAGCCCTTCTGAAAGAATGACTTCTCAATCGGTTTCAAACCTTTTTCCAACTGATTGAAAATTGACTCTAGTTTCTTATTCAGACACATCTGTTGGTGAGTAGATAGAGATCAAAGATAATGCACATCAATCACTGCTTAAAAAAACTAGTCCCTGTAATGTGTTCTTTCCATTTATGATGTATGCTTCGTAAGCAGGACGAAGCACTTCTGATCACCCAGCGCAAGTCGACAATCATTTTGACAAGTAGGCTGGATTTTTATTGATCAGTGAATTTTCTGGAATTCACGTTCTCCCACCTCGTTGGAAAACGTCATGTACGGGAGTCAGTTCTAAATAAGAGAACAAAACAGGAAACTACCAAAATAGTTTTAGATGGAGTAAGCGTTTTATTAATACTACATAAAAAATAATTATGCACTTGACTATCCACCTAACAAAGCTTCCTAAATACTTAAACTGTCGTTACGATGGTCACCAGTGTCACGCAGTAAAATATACTTGAAGGCTTCTTTGCACACAAATGTTTCGCGGTTATCATATGCCACATTTGTCTGTCATATTACACATAGCAAGCCCGTTTCTAAACAAGTCTGTACAATAGGGTTCCGTAAGGCACTTTTTGTCAAGCTAGGTATGGAAGTATACTGAGGTTCGATGGGTCTGATGTCCGTGATAAAAATTTCACCAGTGGCTTTGGAGTCCAAAAAACGGATGACTGTGGTTACTTTTTCAGTATTACTTGGTAGGACTTTTGTTTATATAGTTTGAAGCTAAATATTGTACGTAATCCGCATGACATCCTACATTAGGCTTTTTTGGACAAAAAGCATCCTACACATAAGGATTTAGCATGAATTACACGATTAATATTTTGATGATTCGAGCAAAATTCTGCTTGATCCGCTATATATTACTAGTATTGCCAAATAGATAGGCCTATGAAATAGTACAAATCAGCAACGAATGAATTTCCACTGCATCACCGTTCTACAATCTACACTTGCGCAACATAGAAGGATAGAAAAAATGCTAACTTTCTGATGGTTTCGATCAACTTCTAAGTCTCTTTCATAGATTAAGTTGCACCATGGTAAAATTGCTTCGTTCTGAGAACGGTCACTCTAGTATCATATGTCTTACTGATCGGTTTCCCTTCAGTTTTCAAAGCTCGTTGAAGGTGACGTCGGATTGTTTCTTAACGGGTCATTTGCGATCCCTTACGATAGAAATCGGTAAGTATATTTTGCTGAACACAAGTACTCTTAGAAAATGGCTGCTTTGCTTAAAACTCATAAGGGTCACACATGTTACTAACGCTTCAAAATGTGTAAGATAAGAGAAAATGGGAGACGTAATGACATTTATGGTAGGGCACACCATTATGGTGGTTGTCCAGCAGTTCTTATCGATACATTATTTCCAGGGTCTTAAACAACAGTCCGGGCATCTGTGATGATCTATTCTTGAAAACTGAAAGATAAAACAATAAAGCTGTATGCAGTAAGGCGACTACTTCAAATCCATAAATGCATTTACCCACAAGAACCGCCTGCGTTTTCAAACCGGTTTAGGTAAAGGCAGTTTTCTGATACGGGTGAAGTTGGATGAAAATGAATTGATAATCATAATTTAGTAGTCCGTGGTAATATTCGGCTTGCAAAGTCGGTCGGTTATCATTATATTGAAGAACATGTGCATATATGTTTAGAAACCCTCAGGTCGTTGGATATCAAATAATTAGCGACTACAAAGGCAATTAGACAGTGTAGCGTGATCACTCAAGTAGAATAAACAAAATAATCTGTGCGACGTCTTAGTTAACTATCTACTTATCCATATGCAGTCCAATTCAACTAAGTTCCGCATCTTTTCGTTTCATCACCAATCGAGGTGACATCATCAGTGCGTTATTGTGCAGCGTAGTAGTGCGTAGCTGTGGGTTGGTGGTTGTGCGTCCAGTAGTGTTACGTGTGTGTTGATATACGTGCTGGTAGCCGGGGGTGACCTTTGACCGCGATTAGTTATTCGGTCGGGTGGTTCCACTGTTTGTTCTTTCTATCCCGTGTCCTCATTCGCCCATGCCCACGTGACCTTTGAACTTGGCCAGGCGTACAAACCAACGAACGTCTACACTACCCGAGCTACCGACATTCTCCTCTAAAGAAAATCGAAGAGAATGAATTCATTAACTTTTTGGCTAAGTCCCGTGGCCACTCCGAGGAATTCTTTTTTATATGATCTGGAAGCCAGTTTCAGCCAAATAGCCAAGAATAAATGTACATTTTTTGGTCCATTTTGGGAAGCCCGGATCCCCATTGCTGATATACGCCACACTAACTCACAGTCCTCGTCAATCCATTTCTTCCGCCCTAATGAAGACACAAGGCCTAAATCAGAAGAAGATCTGATTTCATGCTCCGCTCATATCAGATCATAACAGGTGATACAGGACAATTCAACAATAGAAAACGATACATCTTAGAATGAAGCATTTGATTTGATTCACATCAATAGTCTAATAGTATAAATGTTTCAGCCCCATCTTGAATTTGTCTTGATGCACCGCAAATCGAAAGCTCTTCTATCTACAAGTTATGTTCCATTAATTATAGTACGTTTGGTAGCTCGGAATTGCCAAACCTGCATTTTCCCCGAGTGACAAAACTCACTGCTTACATCGTATATCCTTTGGAGAAAGTAGAGTTGAGGTAAGTGCCATTTATATTCAGTTACTTCTTTAGGGTTCATGTGAATGTGATTTGCATCCCAACAGTGACTACTGAAGTCTATTGGGATCTGTATGAACTCTCTACAGAAGAGTATCTGTTCGTTTTACACCTATGATACTTACGACATCATCGAGAAATAATCTGTCTTATCATGGGTGGGCGCATTATTCTATGTGAATTTGCTCTTGAATGATAGAAATGTTGAGTTTGTCGTTTAACCAAAAGCTCGTTTTTGAGTGAAATGCTCGGTGCATATTAGTGTCTGTAGCTTGCGTGCATACAGCAGCCATCCACGCAACAGGGTGCTAAAATGAGAGTGTGCTTCAGAGATCAGAGCAAATTTGAATGCTCCATAATATATTTGTCACTAGAGATAAGCTGCATTTGAACGATGATGCATTTTTGAATGTTATCTATACATGGATAGTACTGAATTGTATTCAAAAGCAGTAGACAGGAATAACAGCAACCGTGTTCAGCTACTAACTTTGTATTTGTCAATTTCCAACAATGGGAAGCTTCCCGGTGGAGACACGTCGGTTGAACAAACCTGACGGGGTATGAACTAACACAACTCATGCGTTTCTCAACATTCTAAGACGGCTCGTGACCGGTTGGACCTTGGTGGGGACTCATCCGATTGGTGCGTTTCCCGAGTTTTTATAAGTCGCTCAGATTCTTGACTCTAAGGAAGAATACCATCGAATACGAGCAGTGTAAAATCTTTCGTGGGCAAGTAACCAGCTAAACTTCAGTCACGTTCGCCGGTACCTTCTTAGTGAACCTCCTTTAATGCTGTGTAAAGAAGCCCGTAATGAGACAGATGTCAGTTTAGCAGTACGCATTTTTCACATAGGATGTACCTAGTAAGGACATGCTAATCATTTACGTAGAACCTTTCCAACAAAAAGCTCTTCCGTAACTTGCATTACTAAGGGGGATTGCGGTAACAAAGTTCGTGCTACGTAATCGGCGAAAGCCTTAAAAACGTCGATTTATTGATGTTTAAAACAGACTATGGAGCTTAGACTTTGTAGCTTGTTAGTCATATTCACAAGAAAGCAGTATACTTCATGCAGTATTACCGACACCTAGTCAGACAAACAGTCAGAGTGATGAATTCATCCGTCTCACAAGCCTTATTATGCAGTGTATTTGGTCCGAATTATCGACATCAAAGCATGACTCCCTAACATTATAACCGCACCATCCGGATCTCCACTATGATCCTAATTTACGCGAGTTCAAGGGATCGACTGGTGTGAAGGCACAGCTTACGAGTGAACAGGCACTGGCATCTGACCTGCTCCAATATAACTTGTCAGTACGTCTAACATGCAACAATTTAATGATCCGCCTATGGCCGATAGGTAACACCGGCGAAACAGTCATAAGGCGCGGTAACCATTCCGCGTATGGATATTTGGCGCACATGTGTCTGAATATCGGGTGTGATCTTTTTGCGTGGCAAGTGGACTTTTGAAACTATAAAACAAAGCGCTGCCAAATCAAATACCTCAAACGTTTCGGATCCTTCATGTGGCATTACATCTCATCGCTGTGCTAAACGTCCAGGAAAACCAACAAATTTGAATCCTAAGAACTTGTGGTGTCTTAGGATTTAACTAAACGGATTTAAATGGGTAAATCGCAAAAGCCTGAACTGGTGAAAAACAAATAGTGAAAAATTAAGGGCGTTATTTGAATGAACGGACAGGCATCAAGTAACGCAATTGTAAACGAATGGGAGCTATGGAGATAAGCAAACAAATGCCATATTATTCGAGTTCAGAACTTTAGTTTCTCATCCCTCGTTAATATGGAAAAATTTACAGAGCGTTTAGACGGGACGACAATGGCTTCCATTAAAGTTAACTATTTTGGTATTGTGCTAACATACAGTTTATGACTAATGTGAAGAGATTTGAGATTTTTGTGGAGACTTCGTCCTGTAAGTGAAGCCAATCTACGCTGAGAGACCGTGAAACACTGTACAGCTGTTTCATCCTTATTGGAAATCGTCAGCAGTCCGCATCTTACGAAACTCCGGAGAGTCTCGAACCCGTGACCTCTTGGCTAGTAGTTTGAACACTTAATCTTTCGGCCACGGCGGCTGATAAAGCCTCAAAGAACCAGTAAGCACGTGTGACAACGTGATGTAAACCCCGTGATTGAAGGATGAGGGTTGCTATATCCTGTCCAAGTGTTAGTTAATCCCACTGCTGATCAGCCACTCGTGGCCGAACGATTAAGTGTTCAAACTCCTAGTCCGGAGGTCGCGGGTTCGAGACTCTCCGGAGTTTTGTGAGATGAGCACTGCTGATGATTCCAATAAGGAGGAAACATCTGTACAGTGCTTCACGGTTTTTCAGTATAGATTGGCTTCACTTAGAGGACGAAATACAGATTATCCTGGTCGTTGCACAACTACGCACTGATGATGTCACCTCGATTGGTCATGAAACGTTTGCAACCAAATTGCCCAGCTCAGCGAACAAGTCAACGACCATCTACGCTACCTGAGCTACCGACATTCTCCTCCATAGAAAAACAGATTATCCTCTTTCTCAGTGGTCAGTCGTAACAATATATTTGTTGAACTCAATTTTATTCATCAAATCTACCGTTGTACTCTTTTCATTTCTGTTCCTTCAAAATTGGCCACATCTTTTTTAACCAAACATGGCGGCTCTCTACAAAACTTAGTCAGTCACCAATGATCACCGATCGATGTTCGAGCTGAATGGCAGTCAGAAGTTGAAAACACAACAACTGTTCAGTAGAATCATTTGAACAAATATAGCTGTCTGCAAGATCAGTGTGCAAAATATCGCTTCGGTACTTACGGGCATTATCCCACGTAGCGATTGATAAAAACGGGAGATGAGCTAGCCTGATGGACAGCCACAGTCTACCTTCAAGCAAAGGGACTCCCACCATTTGTCTGCCATAGCCAAGACAAACCAATGATCAAAATGCCGGCCTCTGTATAGTGTTATAGAGACATTTTTTGACTGGCCCAACGATGACACAGATTTCCTGAGGATGTAGCTAACTGAGGAAATATCAGTGGAGAATTGTCTTGATGCTTCTCGACTGCTTCCCACACGGTGTTTTCGTTGGTCGAGATTTCACTGGTGCCTTGCAGATTTGTCCTGGAGCGTAGAGCTAAACAAGCACAACGCGTACCCCTGAGTGCACCCGCACTAACAACTTTCAGCAATTTATCTTATGTAAAAACATTGTTCGCTCATGCTACAGTTCATTGTATGAAACAAAGAGTGCAGATATTTTACTTTGGAATAGTATATCTGCAATCAGGAAGCGTTGAAATTGAATCCTATGCAGATTGCTTAAATGTTGATCATGCCCTTGAATCTGGTATCAATACAGTTTTAATCTTGTGATCTCCCATTGCATAATTTACAAAATGGTCGGGGAATCGGGAACACAGGCAGACAGTAAACATGGCAAAGTTTTCAAATGTATAAAAAGCAGACGAGGTTTATCATTTTGTGCATAAAAAACACATGGTATTTTTATCAGCTGAAGTTAACAGAGAAGGAGCTGTCAGTTAGGTTCACTAACGAGAGAAAAGCATAACCCATAAATCCTTAATAATGCTTCCTTGTTAAACTCTAGCATGTTTTGAGCAGAAAAGATTCCATAAACAAAATCTCAGACGTTTCGCATATTATGGCCAACTAACAGCGTCTTCTTTACTCTTCTTTTAGTCCTCCTGTTGGATGTAAGTCAGAAAATCTGATGACCCTAAAAGCCGATGTCCAAAAGAAGAACATATCCTACGAGTGCGTTGACCAGCCTATGTGAGTTGACATTTCAGAGCATCAATTGTCTCGTTCCTGAGCTGGAGTATTTGCTGGCTTGTATAACTGAGAAGTAACAAAGTGCGGTCCGTTTAGTCTGTAGTCTGAAGGAAGACACAAGCACAGTCACGCCAGAAAATGGGTGCAAATGCACAGACAGTGAACAAAACTGAAATACAAATTACGCGCTATCAAAAGATTGCATAGTTGTTTGAGAGTTTAGTAAAAATATTCTCCTCTGTCTTCATTTGCTAGAATAAGACTCCCGTCTGAGCTCCCCATTTTCTATAAATAACGCGGAAGCCGTCCCAGGAAAATGCTGCTCTTTCGTAGAATAAGCGAAACCTAGAGACAGACGAAGGTGAAAAGGCTAAAAGCGGAAAATTCTAACATGAATAACTGTCTGTATAGGCAATCTGTGAGTAAAATGTGATTATGATTATATGATGTTTCGAATCTTGATTGTGCCCCAGAAGAGGACACGGTTTCAAATAAAGCGGAGTGTAGTGTGCGGTTTATGAGTATTAGTATTGGCAAAGAAAACGAAAGGGTCTGAGCAAGAGTCATTCACTGTGTTTGACTACTATGGAACCAAAATAAGGGGCCTTGTAATTTCGCCTGTTTCAAAGGAGAGAAAGTAGTGCGGAAAACAATGCATCCTGTATGGAAAGATTCATACAATTATGAACCTTACAATAATGTCTTACGGTGTGTAAGTTATTAGGGTATGGTCAATCTATTTCAGGTAGACTGCTCCAAGCCCCTCTATAAATTCATACATAATTCGGGACCAGAATCACAAAAGCTGACAGCAACTCTGATGGTACACTTGGTTGGATTAGGAAAATGAGAGAACGACATACATTTCAAATACGGAAAACTGAACGGAGCGGATTTTTTTGTCAGTGAGATAAGAGTGTGTATGCGATCAAACGGATCAGTAAGTTTTATCCAAGCGGTAAATCAAAGAAGAATCCTGAGCCTTTCACCATACAAGCAGCACCATATCGTGATCAGTAGTGTGATACTGAGGCAAGCGTAGGACGGTCTCAACACTGGTTCGAAGTTGAGAAGTAATCAGGTTGATCAGTTATGCAATGAAATTCAGAATAGAACCAGACTCTCCATTGATGAACTTGCGTGAGTCTAGGATTGACTTCTTCTACCTCACTTCAGCCACACTTTGATCTGAAATGACCAAATCTGTGCGCAGAATGGTGACGCTGAACTAAAATCCGACGTTATATATTATCATTACACATTAAACACTATATTATTTACAATGTAATTTTAAGTGTAGATAGACATTATATCAAAACAGCCTGTCTATTGTCAGCTGCCTTAGACAAATATGAACGTCTGTTTGTGTTCCGGCACTATGGTACGGTTAAGTAATATTAAGCCGCAGCAGGTGATCCATTACTACTACGGTGTTAACATAAACGATAACAGTTAACTAAGACCAAGCGTTTACGGATCGGTTTGGGCTAAAGAAAACTCGACTTAAGGTAACCAGTCGAACTGTCTGATGAATTCTTTCCACCACTACCTGATTGATGATACATTATGTCACATATAATTATACTGTTGTTATATTATATATTCCAGAGGATACTACTCTCACACATGCATTCTTCTTTCGGCACGTTTACCAGTACCTCTGATGCCTTTATTGGTGGAAGAGGATGGGTTAAAAAAAGCAAGAATTTCAAACCCACGGGTCACACAAGGCGTCCAACAGAGTTTCGGGTTGCGACAAGCACTAATTTCGAATGGATTTAGCTTTATTACTCATTCTTAGCATTAGTTATCTAAATGGGCTGCGCATAGGACACCGCATATTTCATTCAAACTGTGTACGTTTCACCGGTCCTCATACGGTCAATGGACGCTCTCAGTGGCCCAATAGTTGTCCGTTCTTTTTGGACCACATCCAGTAGATCTAGTTCCAGAATATCCATCGCTGTCATTTAGTAATTAGATAACACGTGGCTGGGGTAAACAGGCATTTGTCAATTAGTTTGATGGGGTCAGGGGACTAACATACATTTCACCTGAATCCTGAGTTTGTATTTAGGTAATATTGGTGAAAATTTGAAAACAGGGACCCGCCTGATTCACTAGGTGGAGGACGGGTGAAAACCAAAGTTGGCGGTCCAGAACTTCCATCGACCTTATATTAAGTGTTGGGAATTTACTTCGCACTCCAGTGTCCCATCTGAGCCAGACCTATTTTATACTACCCTCGGAAAGCAAGATTTAGGTTGCAGAGAATTGCGCGCTGAATTTTAACTGTTTATGGATACTGAACACCATTTTCTAGAAAGGCCACTCATATTCATCAAGGAATCCTTGCTCTATCTATCACAGTGTCTCTAACATTTCTGTTTTTTTCTGAAAATGTACGCAAAGAAGAATCACGATCAAATCACTTCTTAAAAGCAGCGCTTTACGGACTCTGTTTTTCTCTGCCTGCTTGATGCATTCCGACTACTATCATCGGTGACTGGAATCCGGAGAACTTTTTAATGCTTTGACCTGTTCTGAGGCCATAAAAACCAACCTAATGTCCTGTTGTCAGACCTCAAGTAAGAAGCACATGTCGAAAAACAGATTGCACAATAAGTTTTTAGTTCATGTGGGTTTGAGGCCCCCCAGGTTAAATGCTTACCGTTCTGCACAAAAGCGGACATCTTCACGGTTGATATGCTAAGAAAGACATTTAACTCGGAGGGGTTTCTTATTTCTCCTTCAAAAGTTGTGGTATTTTAGTGGAGGTGAATATCAATATTTGAATTACGGTTAACATTTCAACCGATGACCAGCAGTCTATGGATCTTAAGCCCCCTGAGTTTCGTGGGATGTGCGCTGCTAATAATTCTCAACAAGGTTGAAACTGCCTGACGACGCTTCGCTGCTTTTATTATATGCTGGCACCAAAAACAGGACGAAATCTTAGTTGTAAATTATCGAACCCATTTACGTTATGCTTATGCCTAAACGGATCTCTGTGTTATTGCCATCAAAACAAGACAACGTTATTACCATTTCATATCCTTAAAATCAACTGGACGCATTGCTATAAATATGATCCAATGTTTTAGTAATACACCTCACTATCCGAGTTAGCTTTCACGTAAGCAGTAGATACAACTTCGAAGCCTTAGCCTTTATCCGCCAGATAGGAAGCAACAACTTATTTTCAGAAGTGCGGATAATCAGCCAAAGATTGCTATCGGCCAAGTATGCCATCTAGAATTACCATCCTGAACTTTTGACTAATCCATCGCACGCACAGATGGGAAAGCAGGAGAGAAGTGATTTATGCTGTTATTATTTAATTAATAACGTTTGATGTGCCATTATAGGAAGCACACATCTGACCCATGCAGAGGCTCAAACCATCTCTTTCTCACCATGTTTCTAATAAGATACTTTCTTCCCCACAGATTCGCGCTACAATATTTGTGCATCTCGAATCCCACAAGCAGGCATTGCCTGACGAACATATCGTCGCACAATTCAATCAACTATTTCATACTCTGTCTCTCCTTTTTTGCTTCCACGTTCCTCGTCAGAACGTGACTACACCTCTCTCCCTAACACGAACCTACCTAATAATAACCACAGATTTTATCTTGCAGTAAAAGCACTCTTGCATATATTCTTTTAATATTTCACCCATTTTAATACCAAAACATACTACCTATGTTCACGCTATTGTTTTTGGGTTGGACGTTTCTCTCAATGATCCGCTCTGTAATAAGTCCCATGTTTCTCTTGCTGATACTTGTCAATTTTATGCAATAATTGAGGTACGGCCATTTGATGAAAGCAATTAAATACTGCAATCACAAGCGAACTCAGTTATCCTCGGAACAGTTACTCAGCTGCACATGTGTCGTTCAAATCACTTTCCCACGAGACTTGAATACATCTTTGTCTGCAGTGAGGAACCGCGCAGTTTCTACTGAAAGCTACGGGCAGCGACTTAAATCTTCGATCGTCAGTCATACGAGCGTCAATCGTGCCGCTTCTTGTGGGATACATGAAAATTTAGTAAAATAATTTTCTTAAATACACCGCTCAGTGGACCTGATCAAAAGTACACCTTCTGTGCAAAGGTACTGGTACATTATATGACATGAGAAATTTACGCAAGTTGTAAACGCCATATTTTTTATTTATAGTTTAAACGTATTCTTTTCAACTTTGAAATAAAATTCCCCCCACAATGCGCATTAAATGCAAGTGTCGTTTAGAAGCCGAAACACTTGTCCTTTGCACAAGGTCATTAATCAAAGCATGGCACTTTGGACCCTGTCTGGGATCATAAACTCACACAGGTGCTTTTGATGTATTAATGTTTTATTCCCATGTCAGCCATTTGCTCAGTCACAAAGAACATTTTGTACGGCATTACGCTGAAGAAATATTGCTCAAAATGACAACTGAGACATCTGTCGATGGTCACAGAAAGACTGACTTTTACGTCTCAGTTGGGTATACTATTGGAATGCACAGATGACATTGTACTCGGACGGAACTTACCTTTAAATTATGGCACCGAAGTATTCCTCAGCGTGTAAGCTATCAAAAGTAAAGGTTAAGCACATTTAAAAACTGGCTAGATTGCAACAAGATAAAGCAATAACATTTTGTAGAACAGGTTAACCTTGTGGGATATCACGCATTCTAGAGTGGCTTTATGGAAAGAATAACCCCAGTCAAAATGCCTCACCAAACCGTGCCAATACTCAGTTACGTATTTTCCTGGCCATTCCGAAATTTGAAACTTACTACCGTCCAATTGGGAGTGGTAGTTGATGTTAGTTCCAAGCAACTCTTATACACTTTGTCCAGTTCACCTGAACAAAGGTGTTCTTTCTTCAGACAGAAAATCCTTCTATAGCAGTAAACAATCGATAACCATTGTGTAGTGTATTGAAATAGACCGAACTAGATATTTGTCAATGCTAATATGAGGCAAGTATGGGCATTTATACTAATGGTATTTATGCATTGACTGTGGAGCCTACTAGTGTAATCACCCATAGGATCAAATCGGTTAGTCTTCCTGCAGTGTTTACCTTTTAAACAGAAGGAACCTACACAGGGTGTGGGGCGAAATATGGCGGACGGTTTTGAACCAAAACTCGGAATTCGTTTTAATATTTTAATGAGCCCATAAATCAGGTGCACAACATCCATAGTTCAAAGATGGTAATGAATACGCATTGCAGCTTATAGCACAAAGATTCTAGTTGAATGTAAAAGGGGTAGATGTCACGATCTGCATGTAAATGGTGAACGTGACGATTGCTTGACGGGTCATCTGCGTCAATATTTCTTTGTTGACAATGCAGTCAGTTGTATGCGGTTGTGACTGCTGCGAACTCAACCAAATTCACCAATGTGGCAGATACCAGCTGCGCGGTATCTATATAGATGCTCCGTACTCATTGGTGTCATATCCTTGGATTTTACAATCGATCAAGAATGCTCTGGTTCATAACATTATGTCAATGAATCATTTTAGACGTAAATATTGCAACGTGCGCGATGAAAGGCTGTATCATGAACTATTTACAACATACCGGAATAATACGTCGTGAATTCACCTTGATACGTATGTCAACAAAGATTCGGAAATGACGATTTTTTTGAGACCGGTACTAACGTGCCAACATTCAAATATTGCTGGCGAACTGCATTCATTTTACCCAAAAGACTCAACTGAATGAGGTTGGATTTCGAGTTTGTGGTGCTCTGTATTAATGTAGAATGTGCTACATAGAGACCGACTTGCACGTCGGCTTGTAAGACGTTTGAGATATTGCAGCATACATTCTCAACAAAGTATATTATTCAAAAGTTTACCAAAGGCTACTGACATACGATTACTAGTTTCACCCTTTTTGAAGAATTTAAGGTAAACGCAAGTCCAAACAAGGAGCCAATTGAGTTTCCATTTGAAATAAAATGATATTTCAAGTAGTTTTTTGCTGGCATCTCAGGAGACACGTCTAAGAAATCGAATTTCGGATAGTGGTACATTTCAGCGTGAAAATTCACACTGACCTCAAGAACTTAAAACAGGTGGTAGACAGCCATGGTGTAAAAGAGACGGGTAACAAGTGAACGAGCTTCAGTCACATGCTTTCAGTAAACATTAGGAAAAATTATTGGACCCATTCCAGAAGGCGCAAGCTACATTTGCAGCCTAAACAGTGATTCAGTATTAGGAAATATTTTTTGAGAATTATGAGCATTTCGAAACGAACTATGAAGGGGACGTGTGAATAAGCGCTATTGAGTTTTCTCACCTGCTTATCAATAAAGTTAGTTAATGGATTTATGCTACCCATCAAGACGCTTTCTAGTTTTATTGTTCCCCATTCTTACAGTAAAATTGATCAGCGGTTCATAAGGTAAGTGATGTGTTCATGAAACAGAATAAGACTTTGCGCACACAGCTAATATTCGCAAGGTGAAATATTGAAATCCAAAACACTGATGGAAGACTTGCATTCCATCTGACAGTCTATCGACTGAAACCTTTCAAAACAGAACTAGTAGACTCCTGTTACAGTTATCAAGACAGCCCAACTTACAACGGGAGCTTATTAACAAGACAGAAAATAGAAGCCCTAAGAGATCTGTATGGCCGCGAAGGTCTAGTACGAGTATTTGGATGAAAGCGCCGGAGGATTAGCCTTGAAGGTATGCAACAATATAAAAAAAGATGCAAGATAGTAGTTCCAATCAAACACGTTTTTAGGACGGACGTTTAGGTCCTAACTGTTTACACGAAGGCACGTTGATCTGTATGATGGATTGCTTCGTAGTGAGCGCATTTTGTCGTATTGCTATCGTAAATAACTCAGCATCCTTGAATACATGATTGTGCTTTACGAACAACAAAACTGAAATGTTTCTAAAAGTATTCCAGAAACGTAGATTACTATATGATTTTTATAGTCAATCAAACGTAAACAGTAAGCTCCACTTACAACGAACCAGGTACTAGACACAGGTCAAATGGTGTGTGTCGATTTTCACTGAGACCCCGAACGATGTGTGATGCGGTACACCGTGAAGCACACTTAGACTAACCCTTCAGTGTTTCAACAGATATATAAACCATCAGTAGTAGCAAGGTGAAACATTAAATCATGCAATTCCAGCACACAGCGCTTTTTTTCGGACTTTTGATCACTACGTACTGCAAGAATATCGGTGAATTGGCACCACAGCAGTTAAGCCTTTTGCAAAGGCTTGTAATCGGCAGATGTTCGGAGTGGGCGTTTGCTCACGTTGAATATGAGTGAGTTCAATATACAGTACACCTTGTGTTTCTGCGCCTGTACTATTAAAGTTATGTAGATTGGACTACATCTATTCAACCTACCATTTATACAAATGATAAAAACCGTGCAGTCGTATCGGAATTTCTATCCGTTGTGTTCATCATTCTGAGTTCGTATGGGCTTTGATAACATACTGGAAATCTTTGGGGCTATTGCTGTTCACAAATGTTATAAACAATGAGTGAATGTTCACTGGGATTCTGTTGTCGAAAACCGGCGATTAATTAGATTTTGGTGGGTAAGTTCATTCTCAAGGTTACCCGTGTTCTCCGTAAGATTTTCTGCTGGCCCAAGTTGATTGAGATCGTTTTGACAAAGAATGTAGTTTGAATAATGTTATCCGTAAACCGGCTTTAGTGTTCTCACCGGAAATTTACGTTCACTTAAGTTCCCTCACTCAGCTGGCTCTTTTATGGACGCAGGTGCCGTAATGCCATCAGTTCTATCCTGATGGTGAACACCAGCACCAAAGTTGACTGTTTTGTTCCTCCAGAAAGCCTCCTTCCGAATTCTGGCCGATTTTGCGCGGCCTTAGGCATTACAATATGTCTTTCTCAGGACATGAAAGGTAACCATAAGGCAGATTTTACAACCAGGGACAGAGCTAATTTTTGCTGTTATCTCCAGAACAAGCTCGCTTTATAGTTCATCTGTAGTTGACATGGCCTAAACACTGTATGTTCAGACTTCTTTCTGATGTCTCCAAAATTATCGACTAAAATGCTATGGTTTTAGGATCGGAACGCAGGATATTGTACCTTAGGTCTGCTGTATAAACTGGATTATAGAGACAGGAAGAGCACAGGTTCAAGAAATAAAGAAACATCCAAGGTGACTGATGCATACCCTACTGCATATGGACGGGTTGAATAACACTCCGTGACATTTGTGATAGAATTACGTGTTGGGTAGATTAGAATAGAAAACCATAATAGAAAACGCACAACTCTCAGCGACTGATGAAAGCAGCAACACTGGTACTATATAAATGCGTCATACCGTTTGTTTCATACTTCCTAGTTTCTGCAAAGAAAGCGTCCCTTAACCTTATGAAAATTGGCTTGAGCGAAAAATCTAGTGCTTCAGAACCATGTATTTTATTATACCAGTCCTTCATTATCATCCTGGAAGAACCGTGTAGTAATCGCGGATGGGGAATCGTCCATAAACGTTTAGCACTCTTTGCCTGTCCAATAGGCAACATAACCAGATTGTGTCCCTCTTCGAATACTTTCTCACTGTTATTGGATATGCTGATGAGGCCAATTCTCACGCTACGAATCATTCACTTCAAAGTCTAAAGTGATATTTACCAACTGAAAACGTGCAAAGTTCTGTTGCGGATGCTGAGGCTAGAATATCTCACGCATCTTGAATACTCTTACTATCCAGGCACTGCATTTCTAGGTTCGCTTCGCGAGCTTGTGTACCGATTAAATAGATTTATCAAGGTGTTTCCCTATCCCGTTGTTTCCAAGCTCGTACTTATATTTAGGGCTGAGCAACCTGAGCTAGAATGCAATTATAATTTGTTGTTTTTCATAATCAACCATTGCTTTAATTTCTCCGTCTTCGCTCAAGCTAATGAGTTACGCAGATATTTTTACGACAGCTGTGTTTTTTTCAAGGCAAGCTGTTCGTTCCTGAAAATAAACAAAGATAGCAGTGACACATTCTTTGTTTGAACAGTACTTGTGTTTCGGCACAGTTATGTTGATGAGCGGGCATCAAAGTAGGAATGCATTGGACTCCAGTTTTGCTCAAATTAGTCCTCATCGGTAAAGCGTATGCCTGGCGTCTTTCCCATTCCTTACTGTTGTATGTACTTCCAAGGATAATATGTTGTATTTAAGTGTGTCAGGGTGTGGCGTTACCAAAGTATACAGCATCCCCGACTCTTAATACATCAAAGCATATATGTTTATCTGGAGCCTCAAGCCTTGAGTCTTTTTCATGTAAAATTCCGGCGCATCCTCCCTCGGGTTTTATGCCCTTGGTGTCGCAAAGTTTGGTGAACAAATATGGGTTCGCGGCTCAATCGCCGGAAAAAAACAGCATGTAAATACTAGACAAAAAGCTGGTTTACGACCATGAGGAAAATCGCACCGGTAAACTACGGAAAAATATAGTACCGGGAGCTGAACACAAAATTTCCTACGTCTTTATGAAACTAAGTATTAACAAGGTGATTTTAACTAAAAATTCTGAGCAATAATTTTGAGTATAATGCCGTCAGCACGACTTGCAAAGTACGCTAGGAAAGTAAAACTTCCTGTTTTACCGTAGCTTCGCCACCTCGGTTATTCCTACCTTTCTCAATAGCAAGGATTCAGAACTCAAAGTAGAACTTTGTTTGAGAGACGTTTTCTTCGCCTTCTCAGTATACTGGGTTAATTTGCTTGGTTGGTCACATGTTATATGGCTTTCTGTCCGCAAGAGAAACTTCCCGGAGTAACTCAAAGTGGTGCGTGATCAGAGGATGCTTTTTAAGTTGGCAGAGGCATACTTCGTCACAAAGATAAGTCAGTTAGGAAATTATTACAGTGTGATTTTCAGTAAAGATTCTTCATTCTGGTTACGGTCTTAATATCCAGAAATGAGTTTTTAATCAACTTATTGAACGTGAAATGAACTAATGAAACGGAGTTTAAAGTAACCTAATGAAATATCGAAAATTGGAAAAAATTGCAGTTAGAATCCGTGGGCCCGGACGGTCATGGTTTTTTCACCCTTCTGCTTCTCTGCTTTCCAACAAATGCAAAAGTGGCACTTAAATTTCCAATTCAAGCGACGCATTTTGTTGCGAAGTCTTGTAGCCAACATTTACTGGAATTCACAGGGTTAAATGTATACTTTAACAAGCAGACTTTGTGCATGAAACAGGCCCAATTATACGCGCTCCTCGACTTCATTCCGAAGGGCTTATAACACGAACTATTACGCTTTGGTGCCGTTCTTGGGTTATGAATGGCTAATATACCAGCTACACTCAGTGTTGCATATCCTGCTTGTACACAAGTATGAGGCAATAGTACAATTGCCGGAAATTAGTAACTGTCACAGTTTTCATATCAATATCAAGTTTCTTGTTTTGTGGCAACATAACAGCATTAATTGTCAAAAGGTGTGGACGGACTTTGAGAAAATTATAACGGACAGCCGGCTGGAGCATTTATGCACAATGGACCCAAGCATGTTTGATCAGTTTGTTTCTGATTTGTTCAAATTCGAACCAAAATTGAAAAAGGTAAGTCATCCAACATCATTTCTCCATTTTGCTTTATTTCCATCTAATGACACGTTTACGTCAGTTAGCTTGCTTGTATGTAGTAGTTAAAATACGCACAACCTGAAGTTATGCCACATGTGTTGTGAAAAATATCTTTTAGACGTTCACCGTTTACAACGGTCCACAGAGGACCCTGAAGTGGAAAGCACGTTCTTTCTGAAACTTGAGACAAAACCTTCTATATTGGGGTCATACTGGGAATTGTGTGCTGGGTATATCATGAATTTTGAAACGGTAAATCTATGTAGAAAGAACAGTGACAAATTGAACGACGTGTGTATCAACTTGTCCAATGTCAGTGATCATGATCATTCTAGTAAACCAATAAAGTAACATAGAATGCTAGAGAAGTTTGCATCACGTTCTCGACGTTTAGTTGTTTGGGTTCAAATTAAATCCAGCCAATCAATCCAGCCAATGCGCACATTTGAGCAACACAAGGAACTGAGGAATGAAGTCGAGCCTAACTCATTGTTAAGTCTTCGACAAATGATCTGTTATGCTAAAATTTTTAGTCGAAACACAAGTGTGAGAAAACCAAAATGCAACAGATTCGACGTTACATAGTTGCATTGCATCGTTGAAGTCCCGGTCAAATGGCGTATTGGTCCACTGCCACTCGGGTCGAGAGTTTGAATCTCCCGAGGGATTTGCGGGTGCACACTGTTGACAACTCCATAGGAGGTTGAAGCGGCTGTGCTTCTTGCCTTCACTCAAACGACCCGGTTCTAACTATTATAAATGTAGAATGGAAACTAGGCCCTATGAATTGTAGGAAAAAGTTTTGTTCCTGATAAATTGTGGTGGTTTAAGGTATTGGTGTTTACAGGTCTTTAGAGTATACTGGATATATATGTTGTTGCAAGCATGTTTGTATGATCTCATGCAATTTCTGTGTACAAAATTAGTCCAACACGCAGCACTATTGTTCTCACTCCCGGGGATCACAACGGTTTACATCTTTTCCAGGCATTGTGTCAGTTATTCGGCTAAAGTCCTCTCTTTCTAAGTTAACTTGTATATACGTCCGCATACCTCAAATCTCAAAACCCTTCTTGGTATGTTCACCTAGCCTAATGCCGATGCAGTTAACTTTGCTTTCCGTGGGCCAACCAGGCTATACGCAAATGAAAAATAAGAAAAGAACTACCACGCTCAAAACTTGCTCTGTAATTTACTATATTAGCGTCAATGAAACAAAAAGATGTTACTAATTACATAGATCTGATTTTCCCTTACCAAAAATCATCGGTCACAGGAAGTCTTAGAACTCTGCTATTCGATGTTCTGAAGGCTGTAAATTATTGTGCTGTGTAACGCTTGGTCTTAGAGAAATGAGGGTTTACTGACGAGACCGCCAACATTTGTTTTGGTCCTGCTTGGAATCGACATTGTGTCATCCGGTGTGACAAGTTTAAATGCCTTTGTACCCTCGGTAGCATGAGATCCCATACCCTCAGTTTTAGTTGACTTTCCGTTGTGCCAGTCCCGGATCAGCAAATGAATCAGTTAGATTTGGTGGACGGTGATAATGAAACTTTGACTGGTGGCACGAATACCGACCTAGTTGGGTAGTAGGTCATGTGCATCATAGCTGACAGGCGGCCATGTATAATATCGCTGACGTCGTCCGATTTAGAATTAAAGTCTAAATCATTAACTCTTACGTCCTTGAACTTGGATGTCTATGCGCGGTGCACCTCGTTGACTTTGTATTCACCTCTAAATGGCCGTCCAACTCGCCAGTATGTATAAGTTTATTGAATACCACATACAATTTGCAACTAGCACAGATCTCTCATTCTTGGTGGTGCGGTGATTTTACCACGACACGCTTAAAAACATTAGAACAAATCCGTATAATTGCAGGTAGTGTTTCGTCCATGTGTACTTATAAAATTTTAACTGCTGTTCTAATTTGAATCAGAACATCAAGAAAACTAAGACTCCCCAAGCAGACCATATTGTCGCCATGCAGAAAGTTCATCGACTCGATATCTGCATTTTCGCGTGACTTCGCATTGGCCACGATTTTAAAGGGTGGAATGGCAAGTTACATTTTCGACTGGTTTCAACGCTTGCTAGGAATGTCTCCATTAATATATGCCCCTACCGGAATTCCTATAACAACCTTAGTGTTTCGGATATCACGGGCGTTTTGGTGCCACTCAGTGTAGAGACTTTCGATTAATGTAATCAACGAAATCAGCTATTCAAGAGATTAAGATAGAGGGTAACGAAACACTGATGTCCAGATTGGCATCTGACCAATTCAAACTATGTATACCGTTTGTGCTCTGTGATGTGTATGTGGAACTGCGAGGTTCCTTTGCCTCTGAATTCGGACGGATATTCTGCCCGCGGAGTTCAGTAGACACAGTTCATTTAATGCTTAGGAAGGACAGACTTCAAATTAGGTGGCAATGTACGGTGTCGGAGGAGCGCTCCAATGTCAGAGTCTCTATGTAAGTTTTGGATGACTCTAGTCGGCTTCTCGTCCTGGCTGCAAATTTGCTGTTTTTAAGGCTGATCAACAGTTTCATGTTGGGATTTCAAAATCTAACGTCAGGTATGCAGATAAAATGTGTTGGGGATATCCCGCTGGCTTGTGCTCATTATGTTCCTACCTTGGGTGACATGATTAATTTGCCAATCATCGTGACCAATGACACAATGGCTATCCTGCTTCAGCTGACCAACAAACTAGGCTCTCAGAATTTATCAGTTAAGTAGCGCCACTGACCCTTGAAACATGTCGGACATTTTTCTGTTCACTTCTTGGTACCTGTGGGATCTGTCCGTCCTGTCCTGGGACTATCACCCGAGTTAACTCGCGCCAATAGGTTGGGAAATGCACAATCCCTTTAAACGTGGTTTTGAGATAGATGTCATTGGTTGAATAGCTTTCAGTACCAAACGAACATTTCTTCAGATTTTCAGAACCTGAAGTGGGTTATGAATTGCCAAGAATGATACATCAAAATGGATAGGAAATGTGCATGTCTAAACGGGTAGGGTGCTGTCAGACAAACTATCGAGGTAAATATTGTCCCATCGAGGTAGTGGTACACTTTAAATTGATTGCTTCCATGCGCTACCTAAGGACGTTTGACTGACTACTTGCTGCTCCAAGCCAAGTCGGGCATCGGGTGGAACCGGTTTGACAGACTTTGGAATTGGTGGCATAACGCGCTCTGGTTGTTCAACTGGTAATTTTCGCTTAACAACTGAGGAATTTTGTCAGCCTGAGTCACATGCGCATAGAATGGTAGTCAGAAGTTAAAAAATTTGAAACGGGTCCCTGTGGAAGACCCGACCATTGGCTCTCGCCATTAGGACGAATAGGTAAAAACTGCTGACAGCAATAACGCCTGTCCTTACTTGACAAAATTTGAAACGGGTCCCTGTGGAAGACCGGACCATTGGCTCTCAGCATACAACAAACTAGTGTGCTTTGTGCCATTAAGACGAATAGGTAAGAACTGTCCTAACTTGACGCCGGAATTCCTCATTCGCACGTATCTTGTTCTCTGATAGAGTATTATAGGTTTTTCGAATATAGTTCGCTTTTTTCATAAGACGTTTCTCGAATTCTGCAACTGAGCTTGATAACAATATTTGATCAGATATGCTCACCCGCAAACGAACTTATGTGTTAACAGGAAGCTCAGGAGTAAATGGGCGTGCCATTTACGTTACTATTTAAATGAGTGTACAGAGCAGAGTATCTTGTGTTTGGTTTGGTAGGATATTTAGATACCGTTGGTTCAAGGAAAATATCTCGTCATTTCCCCATCCGTATTTCCAGATTTCAGAATGTTACCTATTGCAGTAGCTTTTTAAATCTAGATTTGTACTGGAGTTTTCACTAACAGGGCTCTAACCCAATACGACTTCTACACATACGCACTTCTTCAAACCAGATCGCGGAGTAATTACTCTAGATGACAAAAAGGGCACGGTCAGAGCGTAGTTTCCTGGGCAAAACACGTGTCGGACTCGGTTCGAAAGGGATTACCACTACAGGCGTTTATTTCACAATTGCTAGCTTGGCAAAAGTACTCAACAAAGGACTGCGTCATCGTGAAGGAAGCTATTCAAGAAGTGCAATTTTTCTTGTAAAAGTTAGGGTACTATATTAAGAGGAAAAGTTGTTGTAGCAGAAAAGACTTGTAGTGTTTAGGCCAGTTTTGTTTTGCTCAACATTTCAGCCGTTTTTTTGGTCGCGCAGTGGAACTTTGGCAATGGCCGTGTGCAGGAAGCTCGGCGTATGTGATGTACTCGAGGGCACACTTCCTGGTAAGTGGAATTCACGTGAAGGTACCAGTAAGAATATCTGAATATTTCTTCCATTCCAAATGCAAATAATCAAAGTGAAGTTGTTTTATGATGTTAAGATTTTGACAACCCAGAGGGAGCGAACATTAAGATGATGAGCAGTAAAATTCATAAACGTTAGAATCACCCTTGTGTCATGTGACTAGATCAACCTACTGATGCATCACTGTCACTTGGTATGTTATCGTGGCTCACAGTTTCCTGAAATGATGTCAGTCGGCTTTAGTTCGAATGCGTGTGGCTTTCTCCCAATCTTCTATCAAATAAATCTGTACACTTTGAATAATGTTTCTTTTTCACGGAAGACACTCGTACACAAATTGCTTTGGTGTTAATGGAAGATTCGGCTAAACTGTAAGCTTATGAAAATCACAAATTGTTTATCACCTCTGGAAGTGAAATCGTTTTATCCCTCCAGCCTCAAAGAAAAAATAGGACTAACACAGGGGGTTTCAGAACGCCTTTGTTTGATCTTTGTGGTGTTGCCTGGACTGAGTACGCTGATTTCTGCAGCTACTCTGATAGATCAGAAAAGTTGTTACTAGGTGATCCCTGAATATGCTAGCAAGATGGGAATGTATTTTCCAAAGATGTTCAATATTTGAAAAGAATGGTGGTTTTTTGATGCTCAAGAACTGCAGTTTCTACCAGCTTTATCGTAACGTTTTGGCCACAAAATAACTCCGATAACTATGAACTTATGAAGCCAGACAAACTATTACTGTCCAGAACCTTTTCTTATTGTAGCTGAGTCTTAGAAACCTCCCATAAACCAACAGTAGTCCGCTTGGTTTTCCTAAGCCAACATTGGTTTAACCTATGCCGTAAAATCACGGTTTGTTTGAAAGGCTTATTGTGAAAAAGGAATAAAACGATGTATAAAGGGGACTTAGTGCTAACTAATCACAAAAGTTCCGTGCTACATTCACCTCGAGACACTGATCCGGGCAATCCGGATAGGAACCAATAACGAGCATGCCACTGACATCAATTAGCAGTTACATCTTGAAGGGCCTCCGATCAGGTACATTGGAGATCGGGCGGTTTCCAAGAAATGTCTCCGTTGATGGATAGAAGTAAGATATTTGAGCCAGCATTTTTCTGCATTCTTGGTTTTCAAATGGCTTAGCTTGTGAAATGAACACTTCCGTTCTTAATGTCGTCAGAATGTAAATAATAAATTCTCGCGATATGTGTACAACATTTACCTCTTCAGTTAGTTATCTGTGTGGTATAGGGAAATTGCGACATCAGACCAGAGTGTCCACAAAAACAAAGGAAACCGCGACAGGTGTTCGGTTTGTCAGTATAACTGTTCCCCAAACCCCAAAAGCACTCGTAAACAAAAGTCCCTTTTTAGGTTTCTCAGGTCTTTTGAAGGGGTGGATATATTTAGTTTAGAGATGCTACAAAAAGATGATAATAGTAATCCAAACCTAACAATCTGAAGGGCAGCTCCACATACTTGAGTCACCATCTTCTGACTATTAACTTTGCCGGATTTGGGTACAGGGCGAGAAATCCCAAATTAGAATACTGGTACTTGAATTGATTCCCTCCATTTCGACATCTGAGATGCTTCTTACTGGGGTGAGATTTGACAAAATGTACTCATTAGCAAACTAATTTGGTTTTCATGAGATAGCCACCTGGAACTCAGCTAAATCTTTCGTTTATGATGTTTCCAGGCAGCTGAATGTGCTGCACCAGGCTGCCTCATGTCTCATTTGCCACGATATTCGAGATATTGCGACCCATGTAAATTCGTAACGCGCTACTCATAAGACTGATTAAGATACTTCGACAGCTCGCGACCGGTTTCGCCCCTCTTGGGGCTCATCGGGTAGGCGCAGTCCCCGTTTCCATTAAGCTTATGTTCCACTTGAAACGAACTTATCCCTATGTGTGCCAATAACCAGTAAATACGTCGAACGTATTTGCGTCAGTAAAACTGGATATTAAGTGGCATGATCGGCAGCAGCACTCAAAACCCGCACATTTAAATACATACGTCATAACAAAACGCTCACTGAATCCACTTCAGACAGACTACTTCACACATTAAAAAGCATTTCCCAATTCGATGCAGAACTCCGAACCACTGATCGTGTCGTGAAGAGAATCAATACCATGAAAGTCTTTGTCGCACAATTTGTTCAGGGTTGAGGGTCGATCTTTGCTTGAAAGCAAGTTGTATTATTCAATAGATTGGATAAAAACGATGGATTCATCGCGGAATGTCACAGAACGAATTGGTTGATCTAACAGAGCTGAAATGGTCTGTCGCATCTTCTTCCGTAAGGACAGATTTCCTTATGATGTTGTGCGACCGAATAAATTTTTATGATATGGGTAAAGACAAACAGAGAGCTCTTGTACAGCAGTCTTGATGAGTTTGAGTATGATTTCAATCTATATACACTTCGGGCCTCATAGCCTAAAGGACCATACCGAGACGAGTTTCGTCATAACACAACAAAGTCATCTGCGGAGTGTTCGCCAAAATGGATGCCAACGGGGGGCGTTGAGATACAGTTTTGAAGCCACAGACCGGTGCCAAGAGATGAAGGATACCGTCATTTAGTGATATAAGATAGGAATGTGCGGTTAGTATTTCAACATATCAAAATTGGTTGACTTCGTTCGGTCAGCACGAGCTTATACACAATAGATACCCGGAGTTAAGGCAATGCAAGCAGAGCTATCTAACGTTAAAAGTTTGAAGTCAAAACATCATACGGCGCCCAATCTGTTTGACAGGCTCCGACCAGAAATGCTCAGTGCCAATTAAGTTGATTACTGAGTAAAGAGCAGATCGGAAGGTCTTCATTTATTTCATGGTCTTCTGTGGCGACAAGCAGCCACTTCAGATGGCGTGGAGTCCAGCTGTGCAATCAACAAAAACTAATGACCAGTGCGCTTTTCTACGCTGAAAGCTCCGGCGGCAAAATAAGCCGGCTGTTTTAGTTCATCTCAGTATCTATGCCCTTTTAAGCTCAAAATATATCCCAGAATTTTCTATAGAGGAGAATGTCGGTAGCTCAGGTGGCGTAGATGGTCGTTGGCTTGTTCGCTGAGCTGGGCAATTTGGTTGCAAACGTTTCATCACCAATCGAGGTGACATCATCAGTGAGTAGTTGTGCGTAGCGGTGGGTTAGTGGTTGTGGTTACTAAACACTTAGTAAACGGTCGTGGCCCTCACAAGTGCAGGTCGCTCAAAACGGGGGCACCACTTTCGCAGAGACCACATCATGCTTGAGTATTCCAGATCCCAAATAAAAACTTTGTGTACAACGACGTGAAATCACCGCTCCTATTTTTATGTGATGGACGCCGATATTCATGCGACCAAGTCTGAGCAGTGGATGTTGTGACCAGACCAATAGTTAAACGGCATTTCCAGTCAGTTTTGCCCTACGCACAACTACGCACTGATGATGTCACCTCGATTGGTGATGAAACGTTTGCAACCAAATTGCCCAGCTCAGCGAACAAGCCAACGACCATATCCCAGAATGTTTTGCACCGTTTCAGAGTAAAGTATCCTTTGCGCTCGAAAACGGTCTAACCTTCAGGCGAATTGAGATATGCTAACAAAAACAGTTGCACATGTTGCTCCCACCAATAAGAAGTTATGACTCAATTCCAGATAGATAGGCAGTGTCTGTGTTATCAAACTCCCTCTTTTCATTATCTTGGACCAGTTTCTAATATGCCGACGCAACCGAAGCAGATTCAGAAGCATGGGTTCATTAAAAGCCCCCACTTTTTTTATTAGGCTTCATTTTCAACGAGTTGAATTGGTGTGATAAGACGCTGACTGCCGGAACGGTTTATCAAACACAATGCGGCTGTTCCGGTAAAGCGCAACTAGTTTACGCTTTTTGGAAGAGTGCTTCAAAATTGGTGAGTTGCATAATTTGTAACGCGCATGAAAACGGACGATGATCATCTCATCCAACATAACAAGTTGGTGGTCAATTAGCTTTACAACTATAAACTCCAATTCAATAAATGCCGGATGCACCACTTAAAGGAAACCCCTTCAATTAAAGACCAGTCAAAAACTGAAAGTAACAGGATCTCACCAAAGAGTTCTCTTTCAAGAAATCTGAATAAAATAAGGAGATAAAGGTTCCAGAAAGTCTACATCCAACTTTCAGCTCTGTAGCCGCAATGCTGAAAACCATCGTTTTTTATACCACAAACAAGAATACATAAGAACAGAATGACTAAACGAAGCCAGCTGTATCATGACCTATCGATTATAGCTCCCGAGCTTAGGGCACCATAACAACTTTCTGGATGCTACATAGGCTTAACATTAAAATTCGAATGGAAGTTGGAAAAATGCTGGGGCGTTTTTCGGATTTTAGTCACGCCTCAAAATGACGGATTCCTGTTCAAAACATCAACACGTTGCCATTTGGCAGGTAGTTTTATTCAAGTCTGATCCTGTATCATCCATACTCGAAAGCCTGCAGTGAGTGCGTTCAGGTTGCTATTGCGCTGGTGCATTACAGCGGTCTGACGACGAAGAGTGAAACAGACAAAAATCAAGCTTCGAATCGATGCAGCCTTCTGCGCCGGTACTATTCACTAGGTAAAACAGGGTGTTTTCTATTGCCTATCATCGTGTAAACCAATCCATGACTGATGTATTATCAACGGCTTGTTAGTTTAGAAAACAAACGTGCAAGGCTTTCTCCCTGGTGCTTGTCCTACTTAGAAAACGATAGACTCGTTCGCTCTCCGAGTTTGGAACTGATAACTGACAAAGAAAACAAAGCTAGATAATGAATAATCGTTTATTTGGTGGGAAAAAATCGCTTAATTCCCAGCTCAACGACTGCTCATAAAATGACACGCGAGAAATAGAAAGGAAGAAAGAAATAACTGACCTTGGTTGTAAAAATTTCAGTCCTTTTGACGGAAAACCAACAAATTTTCAGTAGCCGGTGTCGCAAGGTGATTGCAGGTGGGCAAATTTCTGATAAGATATACGCTGGCCATTATCCTTTTAAGGACCCTAGTTCGGCTGTAACAGGTACGTCATGGTCCACACCAGTAAAAGAAAGCAACAAAGGTGAAATCAACAAATGGAATGCTCAACACCGTTTTCTGATCCGTTCACGGCTGCTTTTTCAAGTTCGTAGCCCCTTACAGTAACTGTGGTCAAGTGCTGTCTGTCAAAGCAAACAAAGTGTCATCCGAAACCAGAAGTTACCGTAAGATGCGATTTTAATCTAATCGTTTCACCAAAAAACAGAGCGAGGGAAAAAGAAATGATATCAGTTAGTAACAGCGTTTCTCGGCAATTGGAGGATTCTTCCAAAGAAATTCTTGAGTGGACTATCTCACGTGAAGTCACTGAAAGCGATTTTTTTCTTTCCAGTAATTAAAAGTGTCACGAACGCATGTAATTTCAAGAATACTCAACAGTTCAAACAAGCCACTGATTGTATTCCCAAAAACAAGGCATTTTCAATGATTGTAAGTTGAACGTAGCGCCAATACCTTTATGCAATGGTCACTGTGAAAAACAGGGTGATGCTGCTGCCTCAAGATTATGCTAACGTCAACATGAAAAGCGATGAAAATTTCTTCCTCTGGAGGCAACAACCGACCTCACGAATATTTTCGTTACCATGTCTTGTAAGGAAATCGGACAGACCGGTTAAGCTAGAAGCACGTGTTCGGTTATCACCAATTTTGGTATTTGTTAAAACTGCTTACAACTGTTGTCCTTAAAAGGTTTTTTATTGCTATGTGTTTGAGGTATTTGCGCCGTTAGTTAATCGTATGGTCGACTGATTATGATATCTCTCGAGAGCAACCACATTTTCTAACTAAGCTTACTTGAAGCATCTACTGTGTGTGGTTCGTAGCTGCAGAATGTTTTTTGTATCCTTGTTCTGTCAAAGAAGAAATCAAGCAGAAGAACTTTCTGGATTAGGTAAAACTTGTTAAGAATGAAGATGCCACACCTTCAAGCCTTGTTGTCGGAAGTAGTGGAAGTTCGGGTAATCTGTTGGTTTAGAATGGGCTTATTGGGTAACTAACCGTCCTCGTACAAACTAAATCGAAATTTCATTGATAGATCGATCCACCTTAAACACGAGGAGAGGTATGACAAGGCTGTATAATCTTCACAACATAGGTATTTATTAGCAGATAATTCCACCTCACAGTGTCTACGTGTGCAACTAGCTTATTTAGTGTGCTCAAGTGGTTCCGACACACCTCCTCCTGATGTTAGCCAAGAGAAGCAACCCGTGGTTCCCCATGGTGACTGAGTTTAGCGTATAAGCTCTCTGAGTTCACAGTTGCAAATAAAACAAGTGGTGCAATAACTTCACATCGAAAGGTACATATATCAATCAGTGTGTGCGTAGCTGTACTCGAGGACGCGCATATGAGACCTATCTATGGCCGTAATATTAGACATCATTCCGAAAATACAATCCATTTCAAGCCTTTCGTGACAGCGCACTCAACGTGATGAAAAACTGGGGCAAAATTCGTCTCCAGGGCTAATGCGGATAATCCTTCACCGCTTGATCAGCGTCGATGCACCACCAGACAGCGAACTATCTAGCCATTTCCAAAAGTCGCTCCATGAATTTAAAGTTGTCCTGGATTCATCATTTGAGCAGCGACAAAATTGTCATTCGTTTGAAGAGCTTAACCAGTTACCTGATGGTCCGATTTTATTTCAGTATTCGCAGCTGGTCGAAGGTGATGTTGGAGTGCTCCTCAATGGATCTTTGGTGACACCTTACGACAAAAATCGGTAAGTTCATTTTTGTAAGTACTTTTTCGGGACTGCAATGAAACCATGGTGACGGTTTGATTTTATTGTGAAAACCTCATTTACTGGTCCACTTCTGGTATCTTTTGTAAGCTAACCCAACCTCCATATTTTCTTGTCGCTTCCGTTTGCACTGATCAACTTTTGTTCTGAAGCTATCGTTCAGCCATCGCTCGTCGCTATCAAATGAGGGACGCCTTGAAATCTGTCTTTGCTAGTTACCTCTTAGCCGTGCGTTTTCCTTGTCATACAAGCAATCCAGGTTCTGACTTCGATATTGAATGATTCATTAATTAAACGATTGTAGTTGCCTTTTAATGCGATAGGATTCTGAATACGAGGTTTTTCAGTATGTGGTTCAACAGTGTTTAACAGAAAAAAATATATTTAGGCATCCAAATCTTTTTCGAGTTCAAGGAATATTACTTGTGCCTAATGTAAATAACGTAACTATTCGCGGTGATGTTCGAATCCCACCATGAACGGAACGTAAAATCCCACGCACCTGATTTCTGCCCGTAATTGTACCACTATGTTGATCCTAGCACATTCGCTTCTTCGGAATTACCTCATCTGTACTACCCTCGAGTGAAAAAACTCACCGCCTACCTCGCCTACAACTTGGACGAAGAGGATGTCCGGTAAGTCATGACAAAGTTTCAACAGTCCGTTTACAAGTAATGAACTATCTCTTACACGTTATATGTACGGGGTCATATGTTTACAGGATGTGGTGTGTTTACAAGGACTGTGGTTCAGTATATGATCGTGAGGATGGAATCAGAAAAAATAATCTAGTTTTGAGTGAAGAGAAACCAATACTTTTGTTTTGTCGGTGAGCTTGTCCCTCGTGACGCAAACGCGGTATACGAAAACAATTCTGTATTAGATGCCCATCTTTCACTTTGTTTTTCATTACAACCAGTTTCGGGCAGCAATTGTTTGGTGAAAGCTGTTGCGTTTGATAACACCTGAAAATAATCGCTCATCTATGTTCCTACTTCACTGTAAGTGATTTGATTGATACAACCAAGAAAATCAAGTCGCACTTATTTCTACCGACCAACATGTACAATAGTCTTTCCGCCTAACGACCGTTCTTGTGAGTTATCTGTCACTTCTCATGTCCACCATTCCTTATATCATTACGTTCTGGGAACAGCTTTCCGAGCAATTATCATCTAGCGTTGTTCGACAGAATAGAGCAAAAGACGAATTAAAAAAGCTTTCAGCGCTGGCACCCTTCCGGTGCCTAGCTGTCATGCCACCCGAAGGAAGCACGAGGGCTGGGATACTGCCAGGTTGCCCAAGCCTAGACAGGGAAGTCGAGTGGCGGAGGTCGGATTCGAACTACGAACCTTCCGGTCAGTATATTCGCGCTCTAACCACTTGGGCCATCTCGCTTGGACATCTATCGAGGTCATCCTCGGGGTTACAGGTTTTATAAGTAGTTGTTTAATTTGCATTTGAGAAAGTTGTCAGTTTCTCAGGTAGAATGCACCAGAGGCTAACGGCACTGCGTCACAACCTACGTGTTACCAACAGATTGCAATTGCTCGTCTTACAGAGCATAGATTCAGGTCTTCTGTGTCGATCACCGTTAAGTAATGGCGAGTTCATAAACTATTTGACTTTTGATCAGCCGTAAGTCACATAAGGAAAAGCTTTTGGTTCTCGGTAGTTTTAAAGAAAATGGGTTCAACACTTTAACCTATCCTCATGATCAAATTTGATGAGCGCAATAGCCAAAAACAGTAGCCACTCTGATTCACGTCGACCTGTGTAAAATTATGGGGCCATTATCTAATACTCCAATCTGTTTTAAACGCGCCTAGAGTTACTCTAGTGACTAGTCATCGGATTAACCTAAGCGTCTAACACGCAAGTTCGATGCATGTGGGTCGAGGTTTTATGCCGATTTGAGACCAAAAGTGAGGTCGTTTATAGCTTAACATATCGACAGTAGAGTCCTTTTTGGATAAAAATTCACCAGGTTTGCTCGCACAATCAACAAACAAATAAGCGCATTTATCGGCTGTTGCCAAACTCTCCAGTATTCAGCCGGCTGATTTAAACTTTCCTGTAAAATATCCGAGTCGGCTTTACTGAAATCTCCCGTCAATTTTTTTACGTTATTCACATTGGGTTGATAGAATAATGTTATTCTCCCTTGCCAGTGCAATTCTTGCTGACTGACGTGCATGTTGTTATTTCTATGATTGCCTTATAGTCGAAGGGTTACATGTGTCCTCATGGTTTTACAAGCCACCTAAGCCAAGCTAAACGGCTGACAGTTTTCTGGTACATTTTGTTCTTACCGAGGTTGGGTTAAAACCTCACTTTTACATCCTCGTCGAAGTTCGGTGAGGTCAGAGCGGCAATCATGGTCTGATCTTTGAGTGAGGTCACCACTCGGTCATTGCTGAGATTGTCTACCGTCTTCCTGAAGGACGGCTAGTTGACATGAAATAATGCAGTTGTCAGCTTAATAGTTGTCTTTCTAGGCATTTGAAGATCATCTACGTTGGGCACATAAGTCTACGGTGTTTCGGTACCCCAGCAAATAACTTTTGGAGGCAGCCTTCTTACATCCATGCCACACTGTTCTAAAAGCTGTCCATATCACGGGTACTCCTAAGGTAAGTAAATGGTGATTACGTGAAAGGCACAAGCTCGCAGTCTGGTCCGGCTGTTCTAGTCTGCTCAGAAATAATGCATTTCTCCTGAAGTCTCACCTAGTTTATCGTGTTTGTTTGAATTCTAGCTTTGTGATGCACGAACAGTAGGAATCCGCGAAGCGTTCCGCAAAATACTTAGCTAGCCGGGAATCGTTCGTGATTACAGAGCCAACGGCCTAGCTGCTTTGGTGAATGTCCTTTTATTTTCATTCACCATTTAGTCTATGTTTATCTTCCTGAGTATAGTTTTCCCTTCCCTCCTTGTAGTGGCATCTGGCAAAAAACTGACATCACTCATTTTGGAGCAGCATGTAGTCGTTTTGAACATATGGTTTTCCGTTATTTTGGGCGGAGTTCAAGAACTTGCCCCTCAGCCACAATGTCCAAGCTGTCTGTTGACATCAACGAGGTGTGTACAACAATTTTCAGTAAAGTGTAGCGGCTCTGCACAAATACCCGAATTTTGTTACCAATTTCATTCACTTATCACCTATGGCATTATGTTGGTCTATGCCCTAGCGGAGGTGTGCAGTGCCATCCCTCATTGCCAAGCGGTCGATGAAAGCTGGAGGTGTGACACATGACATATTGCGCTTCCTGGCATCTATCCTGTTGATCAACTTACCGTGATCATTTTGTACCAAGGGCTCCCCCTGCCGATAGCTGTGGCACAACCAGCACCCTGGTTAACTCATCACTAGCTCGACGACATTGTTCGGGAATCCGGCGTGAACAACCCAATGTGAAAGGAACGCTTTTTAACACGGTGCAGACAACTGTGAGTAGATCAGTGCAAGCCATCCGTGAAAAGCACCCGAGTGAACTTAAAATATGACCTTAGCAGGCATACGCGTTGGTCGAGATGGGGCAAATGACCGCCACTTTATAAGCAGACCTGCTATTATTGTTCAAGGTTTGCTTCCATCCTATCCTGACTTGCCAACAGAAGGTGCTTAACCATTCACTCGGTAAACGAATCTGACGCGGTCGCACCTGTGGAAGATGTGCAGTGTAATAGAGAGGCTTCCAATTGATATGCTAATGCAGCAATGCTCAGCCTCCCCTGTCTGAAATTCATCTGGTTTTCCAAATGGCATTTTGGCGCTGCATGTAGCCAGCGTCCACTCTGAACATCCTCACCACTCAGATTCTGCTTTGGCAGTCGTGAAATCGGTGCTTCAAGGTGAAGTAGTCCGTTTCAGTCAGCCAAAAACGCAATACCGATGGCATTCACTTCTACGTTCTTTCTGTTAACTGAGGGCAGTCTTCATGTCCTTTGAGACTCTTGAACTTAAATCAGGTCACATTCAAGCCCACAAACTCCCAAGCTTCCTGCTGTTGGAGTCCACTGGCAAACAGATACCACATTCATCGGTCTTGGTCTATCTCCGGGTTGTCTGGAATTGGTCATTAAGTCCGCCTAATAGTTGAAGAATTATCCGTGATCTCTACCAGTCTAAATTTTTTTACCACCATTGCGGCGTTTATAAGCCTCGCGAACGTCTCCAATCTCCCTCCTTCTGGAATGTTCGCAAAAGTAAGATTTCTTTTAACTCGCCACTAGTTGGTATGGCAGTTTGGCCCCCAATGATCGCGATGTCAAAAACCCGTCAATTACAATGTCTTCTCAGGTGGTTATGTTTGCAACCCAACCCCCCAGGCTAAGTCAACACATACAACAAAACGGCACACCCAAGGTTACCATATTCCTCAGCCAGACATGAAACAGGTGTTTTGGAAATGGTGGACCGTATAAAAGTACTTATTTATAACTTCAAACCTCTAAGCGTAAAACCTTCATCTACTAAAAGATTCCGCCGAAATTTATCGACTCGTTCGCACTGGCCACGACTAACCACACATTGAAACAGCCTCACTGAAGAGGGGCGCTTCAATTTTAAGGATATGATACATTGCAGGTCACAGTATAACAAAATGTGGAACCGTATCGAAGCTGTAGACTGAAACTATGAAGTTGAAAACAGTGACTGACTATGTGTTTAAACACTAAACCACCGATGTTGCTCGCACAACGGAGGTCAGCATATATTTTTTCAATTACAAATGATTGGAAAATATGTGCGCACAGAGGAAACAGTCATGTTTTCATCTCAATAAGTTATTTATCATTAAAGTGATATTGTTATATCTCCTGATTCGTCAATCTGTGGTATCTGCTGCTGACCCGCTCCAGTGCCTAGTGTCGGAGAGGAAAGACTCACAGAAGGGAGCACAACAGCTGTATTCCGAACAAGCGAGTGAGTAAGAGAGCAAAAGGTACAACGGTCCCACGCTATTTAAAGGGGACTTTCTGACATTGATCCAGGCTGTCTGATAGGCGTTATTGAACACCCATCAAAATCGATCGTGCCTCTGTGAAAAGCCTGAACGCTGATCACATTCGTTCGTGCTTCTGTGCCGTGCTGAATTGATTGAATGATTGACTGGCCTGCATGCTTGCCGGCTTTCCAGTTGAGTTTTTGGTGGAGTAGTAGGTTCCGGGCGTTCCGAAGTTACTTTCAGGAATCTGACCTTCCTGATAGATATCACTGTAGATCTCACCGTTGTTACAAGTAAAATCAAGTATTTAATCTATGACAGCTTCCGATCATTCATCCTATTTCATGGCAAACCTGTTCAAGCTGTCTGAGTTGCGAAAAATTTATAACAATGGTCTTGATTTAGTATCTCACTGAAAAATGAACTGTTTTTGTCAAGTTTCTACGGTGCTGACTTTGCTTCCTTCTAGTCCAAATGCTGGTTGTAACTCGGAAAGCATGCTAACCCTCAAAGCCGATGTCCTTCGTAAGAACATCACCTATGTTTGCACCGAACAGCCTGCGTAAGTCTACATTTTATGAAGCAGGAACTATTGCGTTTCCTACTAGTGCACTTTGCGAGCTCTCATATTGAAACAAACTTCAACAAATTTTACCACAAAGAGAAAACAGTATTTAACGTTCTCTCCAGAAAAAATTGCTAACGCGCGAGCTCTTCCTAATACAGAGATGGACTTTCATCTAAAATGGGAACCGAACAAATCGCTCGTGATAAAACTTCATGAAATACAACACTTACTATACCCTCCAGTTACCTCTTCATTTTCTCGAAATCTCGTCACTAGGGTTAAACCCGTTTCATGCATTGACCGGATATCATTGAGATAGCCTTGTTGACACTATCCAATGATATGATATACATATACATATAATTAATTAAGCTCCTTTCTTCATGGAAGTATGGTTAAAAAGGGGTTGATAAACCTCTGTTAAACAGTTGAAAACACTGTGCGCTATTTCCTCTTTCAAACGCATATTTTGTTCTCTGGATATTGAGTCTATACTGAGAAATTTGCCGATTTCAAAACATAAATGAAAAATTTGTGATCTTCCGACGTGCCGGTTTAACCCTGTTCAGAGAGGTCCCACCTCCGCGGCGCATAACGCAAAACCGTGTTATGTGGTGGTATCAGTTAGAACAAGGGGGCAGCCTGGGGCAGCTTACTCACAAGCCAGCTTAGACCTTTTAAGGATGCTTCGCTGATGACGCCGAAGAAACCCCAATCGGACTTAAACTTTGTCATGTGGCCCGGTCACACAGTCACATTCAACATGGAATGGAGTCCGGAAGTGTATATGGAATCAAGGACAAGTCCCCGTCACCAAAGCGTTCGCCTAAAATAGTTGACGAGTAAGGAACCCTGCAATCAAAGTGACCACTCTCGAACACCAAATACAGATTATAATCTGTATGGTCTTGAATTACCCTTGGAACAGTTTCGTGAACATTTCCAACAACACCAAACGCTCTGTCTCACAAATAATAATTTAGTCCATGCTGAGTATTCTGGACACGATAAAAATCTCCAGATCTGGTGTCTACCAGATTGGTCCATAAGTGACACTGGCGCGAGCCAAAAGTTCGATTTTTATCCCATAATATACAGCTAATTATCAGTGTCACTTATTGAATACAACATTGGACAGTTGGGTCACTGGGCCCATGTACAAGCCAAAATCACTTCAAATTACTATGTGCAAAAATCTGTCTTGCTTAGTCGACTTCGCATCCGAAATGCGTCATTATTTAGGTTTTCTACCACTGTTCTCTTCCACAGCTTCGTGTTCCATTACCTGTGTGCCGCAAACCCCTCGAAAAAACGGTGCTTGGGAGAGCCGGAGGCGCGCAAATGAATCAGCAAATTCACAGTTAAACTGTTCTTTTCTCTTACCGGCTTTCAGAACGGCAGGTGATCATGTTTTGTTTGTCAGTGTTTCGTCCTACCTAATCCAGAGCAAAACTCGATTTACTCTTCCAGCATCCCCTGAAACAAACTTGTCATTTTGGCCAGTTTACTGCACGACGGAGTAAACTCAGTATTGTAGTGGTTATTTCATCCAAAGAACCTGTTTTTAAAGTTTCTGTCAAATGCCAAGGATACTCGAGATTTCATCGTCCTTCTCGCACGGTGCCATCACAAATGTACCCCGTACTTCGGAAGCGAGCTTGTCTGACCGTGAATGAGTAGTTTAAATGGGGGTCGTGCTGATTTTTTGGACGAGGGTAAATTGTTAACCAGAGAACACTACTCGGTCGAACGTTTGACTTAATTCGGAATGATTGCTAACTCATGACCAGCTACACAGTACTCTAGAATTATGCCAGAACCACGAACCTTGAAAAAAATTGAAGTAGACTCAAAAATGGACAACAAACGGGAAGCGAAATTTCACCTTAGCTGACCGATTTTGTGACGATACTAATATTAGGGATATTAATAAGGTGGTTCCTGTCGCACGAAGGGGCGGAATTGAGAAATTTAAAAAACCTGAGTATCTGAATGACAACGTGAGAAGATTTTGAAATTTTGAACGAAATTTTATCCTGCAATTGAGGACTATCTGTGTTGAGAATCCGAGGATCACTGTCTACCTGTCTCCGCATTAGCAGTAATCATCGGCATTATGTATCTCACGAAGCCACACCCTCTCGGCTAATAGTTGGACACTTAAACATTCGGCTTCAAGTTCCTGACCAGCAGTGTGCTTAACTTGGACTTGGCAAGAAATCCGCATCATTTAGCCACGCCTTGACTGGACGAATGGAGGAATGCTGGAATCACTAATCGGGAGATTGAGTGTTCGAAACTCGCTGACTTTTCGTGAGGTGCGCAGTGATGGTGACTCCCAGCAACCGCTTTAAAGTGTCTATGACTTTTCAGCATAGACTAACTTCACTTACACGACGAAATCCTCGCTGAACTTCAAATTGCGACGCAATACCAGCAGTCCATAAGTAGCTCAGAGGGACAATAAAATGTCCAATGAGTGAGCCTTCTATCCGAAAATTCGTACCTCGAGGAACCAGTCAACATGTGTGACCACGTGATGTGGATTCCGTGATTGAAAGATGGGTAGTGCTACACTGTCTAAATGGGAGCTACTCACACTCCTGATCAGCCGGTCGTGACTGATTAGTGTAATCATCAAAACCGCTTGCAGGACAATGCGGTTTCGAAATTCTGTTGAATTTCTTTATATGGGCTCTGCCGATGATGGCTAATGAGGAAAAAGCGGTCGTACAGTTCTCCTCAACTTTTCAATATTGATTCGCTTCTGTTACGGGGACGTTTAGTTTAAAGCATGGAGCGAAGGGTACTGAATTTCGCTATCTTATGACAAAGCTTGTGGTTAGAATTGGAGAGGACAATGAACAATATGGCTCAAAGATAGGCTTGGATGGACCTGACCGTGAAAACATTTATGGCTTGTGACCTGTGCACATGCATAAATGTACATACCTCCAAGTTGTAACCTATTCCGATCAAATTACACATGTTATCTCCATGAACACTGGGTAGAAATCAAGGAATTGATCAAAGTGTTTGCCCTGACAGGGCAACAGTGTATTGGCTACAAGATTTTGGGAGCTAACTCAACATTAGTAATTCCCGGGGATAAACATACAGAACAGGATGTATAGGGAATGGGAGATGTGAAAGTGAAGATAGAAGACACTCGAAAATTTGTGAAACCGTATACATCAAGAGAGAATGAGTTTTCTGTCAGACACCGAAAAGACCATGTCCGTTTACAATAATGAATGGCAGTCTAGGACTACATGGAGAACACTCTTAGGTTGAAGCCCGTGTGAAAGTGATAAATTTTATTCCATATGGACATATATGCACGTGTCGTTAGCCGTGAATAACAGACTATGCAGGTGCTATTGTTACCATACTCTGGTAGTTATTTTATTACAGGGAACTTTACTTGACCATAGATGAGTGAAACTGACAGAAAGTGGGTAGAGGACTAGTTAAGTTTATGTTTACAACGCTCAGAGGGACAGGACGTATTTTCATTTTGTCTAACAACGGTTGAAGCCATGTCGAATACTTTTGAGTGAAAGAAGTGCCACCCTTCTAGTGATTAAAGCAGGATATCACTGGCAAGGTTATCTTAAATTTCACTCACTACCTTTATCAGTCCACTATCAACAATAGGGACAAAAACTCCATGTTAAGCTACACAAATTATGCCGGCTGCAGGCTAGAATAACTTTTTAGCCACGGTTAATCAGTAGAGAATCTCGTTAACTGGTTGCAACTAACTACATTCAGGTGACGCACACAATAGTTAGTTGGTCAAGACCACGTGGCTTGCTGGGATTTAAAAAGACTCACCCAGTGGGTGAAGAGGTATCAGACACAATATTTTCAGACCAACAGTTTCGTGCTAATAACTCCAAACATGTCGGCCAAATATTTTTAGGAACTGGCGAATTCAATTTAAGATGGGATTTTGCCCTAACCAGTTAATCGCGCAACGAGCGGACTACTGAAGCTTAGTTGCAAGGACTTTAGTTGAAAAGCTACCGGTCAAACACCCGCTTTTCCTACTTTCTTATGGGAGAGTATTCACCTGCTCCCAGCGGCTACCGCCACCTTTCTTTGTCCGTCTCAGTCAAACAACCCTTGAAAAGGCTGAAAAACATTCCGGGACAACCACGAATTGAAGTTCAGACCCACTCTTCTAGTGGTGGCTCACTGGTTGTTTATTATTGACTAATGTGTTGAGGCCAACCTGGTATATCTCAATAGCTCAAAGGAATTCAGTAGGGTATGACGTGACTGTCAGTACATCAATGTATGGAATACATCCTGGTTTAGTCGTTAAACTTGAAATTTCATGGCAAACTGTTCGATTTAGGCTGTCAAATGTATAATAGTAATGAAGATTCCCCCAGAGGTCACGTCATTCATTTCGCACAGTTGTTTGACAAATCGGAGGCTCCTTTTGGGCGAAATCTTTATTTTTCTACTCACTTGATGCAAAACTTCGCGTTTTTAAAACTTACTGTTAAAAAAAGTAGAGTCCCTGTGCAAGCCATTATCACAGCGAATACGTTCTCAAAGTGGTCCACTATGATAGATGAAGATCACATAATTTTAAGAAGCCCTTTACTAAAGAATTTCAAAAACTGAGTGCAAAGTATGTTTTGGCTACAGAAATAGATAATTTACTCCTCTACAGCGAGGATAAGTTTCGTGGAGGTCATTTACCAAGCGGAGGGCCGAAACCAAGTATCCGGTCAAATTTTCTACCTATATCAAAATTTTTGTTAATAAATCCTCATGCAAATATCAAATCGATCTGTTGGGTGACAGCGTTTTCTTGAAAAATGTTTAGTTTCCATTCCTCACATTCACTCCACCTCACCGAAGAGATTCTCGTGCTGTGATATATTGTCTGTCAACCACTAACGTGCTCTGCAAGCGTCTCCAAATGGTATATCTTTTCCGCCAGGGCCTTGGTTACTCACACTACCCCATGATGAAAGCTCTGGCTTGCATACCCGAAGTTGTTAACATGTCATTCGCAATGATATGATCAGATGCTCGTTACAAATGTTTTTGACAACACGGGGACACTCCATGCCTTCGAACACAGCTTCATTACAGTGGTGAAAATTTGAGAGAGGCGTGCTGGTTTACAGTTGCTCCCTCAAAATTCCCAGAGCTTCGATTCATTCTCACTTTAAAACCATTTCATCACCCGTGCAAAACAATGGACGGTATGTCGCACGCCGACAGAATGTTATTACTCAACGCGAGTTCTCTTACTGCAGCTTAACCTGTGTGTTTGATGCAGAAAAGTTGTCCATTCATAACAGTGTAGTGGAATCCCACACATCAAAGTCCTCGAACGATTCGCTGAAAGTAAGAAAAACAGTTAAGGAAAGCGAAACAGTTGAACATAACTACCGCAGGATTCCTGGAACTTGTTGTTGCGTGGCGCAATATTTCATGTCTATGGATATTCATCCGAAGAGAATCGTTCCTCCTTATATTCTCGCAAGCTAAAACAGAAGAACCAAAAACTACTCGAAAAACTGAGTAGTTAATTTCGGCACGTTCAGAGCTCAATTACAATGCTAATTTCACGATTACTTCGTATCACTTCTTGGCATCGTTGCGAATTCCTCCAATCTGAGATTCACAAACACTGAACCGCACTCCTGCAATTCTTATGTACAGGATAAGAGTGAAGGAAAAACGACGGGTATTCATCCTAAACATGCACCGAAAACATTATTGGATTTTTCAACGAGAATGGGTGAGGGAAAAACTTACGCAAATTTAACACAATAACTTTGACCTTATTTCGGTTACCTTTTTTTACATAGTTTTAATTTGTTGGTCAGCTCCCGTTCAGATGTGTTCGTCAAATACCATGGCGTTCAAGAACACCAAACGCCTTTTAGCATATCACAAAGCCGGAAAAACTACCCTCTAAGTGTAACTTGATCATCTGGAAAACGGTAACAATACGTCTGATTCCATAGATATTAGGCTTAACAATCGCAATAAATATTGACATTCAAACGAGTGTTATACAATATATCGAGGCACAGTCCGTCGTATTCAGCTTCCGGCTTGATATCGAATATATGGTCGAACATGTGATCGAACACGTGGTCGATAGAGACTGAACATTATAAGCAGCACACATTTGTATAAAAATCCAGGCACATAATGCTTAGTTTACCGATCTGGCCATAATTGAACATTTGCACCGAACCAATTCACGGTAGATGTCTAATTCGAGGACTTAACTAATCAACATCACCCCAAGCCACTGAGAGTGTATCAAGCGTTTTCGCAATCGGTAAAAAGGAACCAGCAGCTAGAAGATACCAAGCACCGGACGTCAATGAAATTCGATGGCATACGTTCCCCGACCAGAGAAAGACTTGAAGACCTTGATTTGTAAGATCGCTTCAAAAGGTGTTGTTGCATAATACATAATAAATTTTTATTCATTGGTTGAATGCGCAAGCGATAAAATGCGCACTCGAATCTTACGGTC